TAGCTAATATTTGTAGCTCAGACTTGGAACTCTCTGAGCTGGGTGGTTTCCTTGCAGACGTTTCATGACCCAACTAGGTAAACTCATCAATGCTACAGTATCATTAAGGAGCCTTGGTGGCGCAGTGGCTGAAGTACTGTTAAAAGCCAGCTGCCTGCAATTACTGCAAGTTCAAATCTCACCAGGCTCAAGGTTGACTCAGCCTTCCATCCTTCCGAGGTAGGTAAAATGAGGATCCGGATTGTGGGGGCAATAAGTTGACTTTATATAAAAAGAACACCGCTTAGGGGGGCCCGAAAGCCCTACTAAGCAGGTATATACAAAAGTATGAAGGCTATTGCTTAACGCATTGTAAGCCGCCCTGAGTCTCCGGAGAAGGGCGGCATATAAATCAGACCAATAAATAAATAAATAAATAAATTATCATCATTAGCGCTGATAATGTTCTCTAGTTGGGTAATAAAACATTTGCAAGAAAATTACGAAGCTCAGAGAGCACCTAGGAAAAAATAAATAAGAATCCTGAGACCCTACAAGGTGTGCAGAGATGAGCCACAAAGATGAGAAGGGGTCTGAAGGCTAAACCAGGTGATGAACAGTTGAGGGAGCTGGGTATGTTTAGCCTAATGAAGAGAAGGCTTAGGGGGTGACATGAAAGCATCTTCCAATTTTGGAGGGGCTGCCCCAAAGAAGAAGGAGTCAAGCTATTCTCCAAAGCACCTGAATAAGGCAGGACAAGAAGCAACGGATGGAAACTCATCCAGGAGAGAAACAACCTGGAACTAAGGAGAAACTTCTTAGCAGTGAGAACAATTAACCAGTGGAACAGCTTGCCACCAGAAGTTGTGGGTGCCCCATCGCTGGAGGTTTAGAAGAACAGACCCGGACAGCCATTTGTCCAGGATGTAATAAGGTCATCTGCATCAGGCAATGGTAGTCACTAGATGACCTCAAAGATCCCTTCTCCTGCCGGGGTGACTCAGTCCTGCCTTCTCCCTGTTTGAGCCATTTCTGAAACGAAAAGCAGAAGAAAGACTGGTGTTTTTCCTGAAAAGAGAAATCCAATCACTTTGGAAAATACAAATAATTAATTCCTGGAAAGAAAGCAGCACCTTCTGTTGAAGCAACTGGCCCATCAGCAGGAAACAGATCCCTCTAACTGAGAACCCAAGAAAACATAGAGACTCCCTTGGCAAACCTTCTCTACCTGAAGATCCGAGCCGCAAATATCTGCTGACACTCTCTTGACTGCCACTTTGTGGTCATCTGGAGTTTGGCAGCCCGGCAATGCCAGTTCTACACCAAATCATAATAACTGGGGTCCATCAGAAGCTGGGGTCTCCAACCTTGGCCACTTTAAGACTTGTGGACTTCAACTCCCAGAGTTCCCCAGCTTTGCTGGCTGAGGAACTCTGGGAGTTGCACAAGTCTTAAAGTGACCAAGGCTGGAGACCCCTGATCAGAAGGACGAAACGACATCTTTTATGTGCCCAGAGCAAAACAAAACATGTTTATACCATTCAAAGTCACAGTGGCACTGGAAAAAAAATGATTTACTGCCAATCCTCACACTTACGACGACTGGAACCTCCTCGTGGCCACGTGATCAAAATTTAGGCGCTTGGCAATGACATGTATTTAGGACAGTTGTAGGATCCTGGGGTCACGTGACCTCCCTCTGTGACCTTCCCAGCCGGTTTCCGACAAGCAAAGTCAAGGGAGGGAGCTGGAGTTGTTTAATGACCATGTGATTCACTTAACAACCATGGCAGGAAGGGTGATAAAATCAGACCTGATTCACTTAACAGCTGTACTGCTTAGCAATGGAACTTTAGGGCTTCTTGTGGTTGTAAGTGAAAGAACAACTGTAATTCAATAGAAAATGGGCTAATTCAGCCTCTGGCTTCAGCTCCCGCCCCTCGGAAATGGGTGGGTGGGATGCCCCTGCTCCGAGAACAATAACCTCCTCTTTCTTTTGTCCTGGGGAGAGAATTGGCACCCACAGCCTGGTGGGAAGGACACAGGGAAGAGGAAGGCACCTGCAAAAACAGAGCTCAGGGGAATCAGGATCGGAATCAGAATAGAGCTGGAAGGGACTTTGGAGGTCTTCTAGTCCAGCCCCCTGCTCGAGCAGGAGACCCTATCCCATTTCAGACAAGTGACTGTTAAAAACCTCCAGTGATGGAGCACCCACAACTTTCTTGTGGCAAGCCGTTCCATCGGTTAATTGTTCTCACTGTCAGGAAATTTCTGCTTAGTTCCAGGTTGCTTCTCTCCTTGATTAGCTTCCATCCGTTGCTTCTTGCCCTGCCCTTCAGGGGCTTTGGTATATAACTTAGCCCTTGTCTTCTTTGGGGCAGCCCCTCAAATATCGGAAGACTGCTGCCCTGTCCCCACTAGTCCTCCTTTTCTCTAGACTGGCCGTGCCCAGTTCCTGCCACTGCTCTTGAAAGGTCTTTGTCTCCAGGCCTTTAATCATCTTAGTCGCTCTTCTCTGCACTTTCTCCAAAGTCTCAACCTTTTTTCTGTAAACATTTTTGGTGGTGACCAAAACTGGAGGCTGAGGTGAGAGGAGGAGGAGGAGGAGGAGGAGGAGGAGGTGTCCTCTTGGAGCCCTTCCACCTTCATTTCTCCAGGTGCAAATCCAGCTGGCAGACTTTCCCCTCCAGTTTCTGGCAACGGGCGCCTTTCCCGTAACCCAGGGGGGTCTTGTTTCCTTTGGCCTTGCAGACGTTGGTGTTTCCCATCTACCTGGCAGGAGGCCTGAAGGCCGGGAATTCAGTCCCTTGAATCCAAACCGTGACACACACTCCACCAAGGAAGTGGACAGGACGGAGGGCAGGGCTGTTTTCCCGTCAGGGCTGATGAGCTGCGACGGTGCGTGATGTGAATCAGACCGGAGCGTAATGGCACAGAGCGTAATTCCATGAACTGGGGATTGTTTCCATGTTGGGACACTGGAAGGACAAAGGGAGGGCCCTGAGCTGGTTTTCATCCTGTGCATTGCCTCAAAGAGGGCTAGAAACCCACTCAGTGGCAGCCTTTGAGTTGGGGGGAAGGGTATTTGGGCTGCTGGGTCAAGGGTCCGCCCTTCATCCAGACCCCTTTGCTAAATTGTCGTCCCTCTCAGGAAGTTTCTCCTCAATTCCAGGTTGCTTCTCTCCTTGATGAGTTTCCATCTGTTGCTTCTTCTCCTGCTTTCATGCACTTTGCAGAATATCTTGACTTCCTCTTCTATGGGGCAGCTCCTCAAATATTGGAAGACTTGCTATCCGGTCACTCCAAATCCTTCTTTTCACCAGACTGGCCATGCCCAGTTCCTGCAGCTGTTCTTCCTATGTTTGAGCCTCCAGTGCCCTAATCATCCTGGTTGCTCTTCTCTGCACTTTTTCTACCGTCTCCACACCTTTTTTTATTCGTGCTGACCAGAACTAGACACCGGATTCTAGGAAATCTGAGGAGCCCTCTTTCCCCAATGGGATTGACCCACCCCACGTCTGTTGGCAAAAGGGTCTATCCCAGACCCCACCCGCCAAGGATCTTCGGCTGGTGGGGTCCAGGCCTTTTTCTGCCACAGCACCGACCTCTGGAACGTCTTGCCCCCCCCCCAGGTGAGGTCCTCTTTCAGCCTTCAGGAAAAGCCTTAAAACCTGACTCAGCCGACTGGCCGGCACAGGAAGAGCTGCTGGCTGGAGGTGGTGGGTGCACTAACAGAGAAGGCACCTCCCCCTCCTCTCTCCTCCAAAGTCATGGGGTTTTTTTTAACTTTGCTTTAATTTTAATCCATTTTTATATTGATAATCGTTGTATGTTTGTTTTTTCTTAACATAAGTTTCTCAGAGGTGCTGGAAGCATTAGATGAACAGCATTTAAATTAGAGAGGTAGATAAATTGATAGATAGATTGATAGATGGATGGATAATAGATATAGATAATAAGTAGATAATAGACAGTAGATAGATAATAGATACATAAATGATAGATAGATGATAGAGATAGATAGATAATAAGTAAATAATACAGTAGATGGATGGATGGATGATAGATAGATAGATATGATAGATAGAAATGATAGATAGATGATAGACAGTAGACAGATAATTTCACCGCCCTGAGTCCTTCGGGAGTAGGGAGGTATATAAATTTAATAAAATAAAATAAATAAATAAAATAAATAATAGATACATAAATGATAGATAGATAGATAGATAGACAGAGATAATAGACAGTAGACAGATAATAGATACATAAATGATAGATAGGTAATAAGTAGATAGATAATAGAGATAGATAATAAGTAGATAATACAATAGATAGATAGATAGATGATAGATGATAGATGGATAGATGGATGGATGGATGGATGATAGATAGATAGATAGATAGATAGATAGAAGATAGATAATAGACAGTAGACAGTAATAGATACATAGATAGATAGAGATGATAGATGAAAAGGACACCATACTTGAGGGGGCACCAAATGGCCATTCCTGCCCTCCTCTTGGGCACTTCCGAGGGGCAGATTCAGGAACCCACCACTGACTTCTTCTGCCTGGTTCCTGGGGCCTGTTTGGCACCTGCAGCAAGCAGGATACATGCTGGGCACCTTTTCACCAGGTGTGGCGGCCCCTGTCTTTGGCTACCACGTGGGACAGGAAAAGGGGTGAGAGGTTACATGCCAGCTCTGTCATCTTTGCTTGCTGGCATCCTGCCATGAACGGAGGGAGGGGGCAGAGGAAGTTAGGGAAGTAGTACAGATGGTGAAAAAGAAGAGGGGGGGAGAGGAGGGAGGACATTGAGAGGAAGCAGAGGTGCCAAGCGGCCAGATTCACTGCCACAAGGATGCCAGGGCTGGGAACGAATGCCAAACCTCTTGGAGAGGCACCTATACTCAAAGCGGCTCCCAAAACATCGAACCGAGATGCCAATGGACACTGACGGCCGGATCGGGGGGAGGGGGGCACGGACAGAGGGAAAGCCTTGTACTTTGAGGTTGACTCAGCCTTCCATCCTTCCGAGGTGGGTCCAATTGTTGGGGGCCAGAGGCTGAGCCTGTAAAGCGCTTGGAGAGGGCTGGAAAGTGGCATATAAATCTTTAAGGGCGATTGCTCTGGCTATTTTGCCTGGGAAGAGGCAGCCTTGAGTTGGCCCCGTAGGAAAAGGAGCAAACGGAGTCGGGGGTCTTTCTTCCCCAAAGCTCCGGGCTGGGGCAGGGCTGGCTGGCTGGCCTGGGGCGTTTTTTCCCATTGCGGCCAGGGGGGGGGGGGGAGTTGCGGGTGGGTGGCTGAGTCACCCGAAAGCAGAAAAAAAAAAGTGCTGATTTGATTTCCAAATCAGGCTATAAAGCGCCGCTTCTGCCTCCGCCACATCAGCCAGCCCTGCCCCGAGCGAGGAAGGACCAGCCATGCCCCCTTCGGCCCCAGGTAAGCGCCGGCCGCCCCCGCAGGAGCCAGGCTCGGGACGCCAGGCGGCCTGGCCCTGAGGGGCTGCTCCGGGCTGGGGGGCGGGAGGGAGGGGGAGCAGAGCCAGCCGCCCACAGCCCCCTTCTCCAGCCGGGCGCCAGCGGAAGCCGCCTCCCCGGGGACGCTGCCGGCTTTCAAGGGCGACGGGCGAGGCTAGAGGCGCAGGCGAGCCCTGGGCCAAATGGGAGGGAGGAAGAGCCAGGCGGACGCCAGGGAAGCGCCTCCAGCCGCAGCGGTCGAATAGGCGGCAGTATAAATTCCCCAACATAAAGAAAAGTGGGATGGATGAGGGGGTGTTTATATATTGAATTTAATTACTCGCTTCTTCTTTAATGGAATTATTGTGCAAACTGTTTTGGGAAAACTTTGAAGACATTTGATAGCTGGGGGATCCTTGGTTCTCTCTGAGCTGGGCTGTTTGCTTGCAGACCTTTCATTACCTGACTAGGTTACACCATCAGAATTATGGAGTGTGTGTGTGTTCTGCTCCCTGTTTCTGTACCAGCGGTTTGCCCTGTCAGTTTTGATGGGAGTTTGTGGGGTTTTCTCCTTGCTAGTTCCCTTATTAGGATGGTCTTTTCTGCTTGAAAGTTTGTCTGGTGTTAAGCCCTGCTTATCTGGCTGTGAGATGCTGGAGACAATCTGTTCTACTCCTTTTGTTTCCTCTTTTTTTATTGCCTCTCTTGAAAAAGAGAACGGACATCCAGTGCAGCCTGACTGGGGGTTTCATTATTTTAGCACATTTATAAAGCTGTCCAACTCTAAACGATACGCATGGCAGAGGTGGGGAAGCCCCTCTGTGACTTGTGGACTTCAATTCTGGCTCTTCTTGCCTAAACCTTACATTTTTCACCATTGAATTTAATTGTCAAGGCTGGGAAGGGGCCCCTTGCTCCACTTCCCAAAGAAGCCAGGGGCCCCACTGATCTCCCCCCTCTTCTCTTTCCAGATGCTCGGACCCTCACTGGCTGCCTGCTGTTGGTTCTGCTCAGTGTGTCCCCCTCCATCCAAGGTAGGGCTACGGGGTGGCACTGCACTGCATTGTATTCTTGTGATTGGTCGCACAGCCAGATGTTCACACTGGATCTGGCCTCTTTTTACCACCTGTCTGAGTCCTCCCCAAGGACCTGTGATAGGCAGATGTGGCTGCTTGAGGGTGTAAAAGGCCTCGTGGCAGGAGGCCAGCTCTCCTGAGTGAAGCTGCCTTCTGCAATTGACCGATGGCGATTTTGTCAATGACGATGGGTGCTATTCATGTTTCTATTACATCAGTGGAAGAGCTACTGCCCACCCCCTCACGAATCCTGCCCATAACCCTAATCTTTATCAAGGCAAGGAGCTGAGCTTGGCTTCTGTGCAGCCCCACAGCAGAGAGAGTGGGGTGAGAGAGGGCCCGGGGGGCCGGAGGAGAGTGGCCGAGACCGATCTAGGATGGAAATAGAGGGAGGGGGAGATGGCCGTTTATAGGAGGTTCAGAGTGCAAATCCTCCATCAGTCCAGCCCCTCCAGGCTTCTGCTGAATGAGCTGCAGCTGACAGAAGCACCTGCTTTTCCATAAAGTTGGTTAGTCAGAAAAGGGGCTCCCAGCCTCCTCCGGATTCTGGTTTCCAGAGTCCTATTTTATTTTTTTTAACTTTAATTTAATTTTTATTATATTTATACTTATTATTTTACATTTTATTTTATTTTACATATTTTATTATTTTTAATTATTTTATTTTATATATTATTTTATTTTATTTTATTAAATTTATTGACTACCCATTGCAGAACTCATGCACAAAGATGAATGCAGATCCCCCCACTTCCAAAGACCCTGGAAAGGGGAACCAGGGCTGGGTGTGCAGCTGTTGTCCCACCCGCCCACCCACCCACCCCAACCTACCTGCTCTCTTTTCAGCTCCAGCAGCAAAGGAGGAGTCGCAAATCACCTCCCTGCTCCAGCCCCAGCCCTCCATCGGTAGGTCCCGCCAGGTATCTGGAGGGGGGGGCAGGGGGGAGTGGATGAGTATCATACTTATGATGGTCGCAGTGTCTTGGGGTCACGTGATCCCTTTTTGCGACCTTCTGATGAGCGAAGTCAATGGGGAAGCCAAATTCACTTAACAACATCTGAAGCAAGAAAGGTTGCACAATGGGGCAAAACTGACTTAACGTCTCACTTAACAACAGGATTTGGGGGCTCAATTGTGGTCCCAAGTCGAGGACTACCTGTACAGTGAGATCCACAGGAAGCCTCTTAGTGGAGTGGCTGGGAGAACATCCGTGGGAGGGATTGTGGGTGCCCCCTTCTCCCTATCGAGGGTGGTGGGCAGAGGGAGGAGGCCAAGGGGGCACCTGCCATTCCTCCACGGGTGAACAATATTTCGTTTTTCCTTGTGGCTCTCAGGACAGAAGGTTCAGGTCTCCTGCGTGGGCAGAACCGTCCACCCAGAGAGCGGCATCATGTACTGGCTGGCAAATGGCACTTTTGTGGACCAGCTGTACCCAAACGGAACGGTGAAGGAGGAAGCCACCGAGTGAGTAGAGGAGGTCCAGGAGAGGCAGGATCAGTCCTGGGTTAAACTTCTACATAGGAAAAAAGTTATCAGTACCGCTTTATGAAGCCTTAGTAAGGCCACACCTGGAATCCTGCATCCAGTTTTGGTCACCACGTTACAAAAAAGATGTTGAGACTTTGGAAAATGTTCAAAGAGCAACAAGGATGATTAAAGGCCTGGACATATGAAAAACGGTTGTAAGAACTGGGAATGGCCATTGTAATGAAAAGGACCAGGGGGGACATTATAGCACTCTTCCAGTATTTGAGGGGCTGCCACAAAGAAGAGGAGGGGAGGGTCAAGCTATTCTCCAAAGCACCTGAAGGCAGGACAAGAAGCAATGGATGGAAACTCATCAAGGAGAAAAGCAACTTAGAACTAAGGAGAAATTTCCTGACAGTTAAAACAATTAACCAGTGGAACCACTTGCCACCAGAAGTTGTGGGTGCTCCATCACTGGAGGTTTTTGAGAAGAGATTGGACAGCCACTTGTCTGGAATGTTATAGGATCTCCTGCTAGACCAGGGGGTTGGACTGGAAGACCTCCAAGGTCCCTTCCAGCTCTGATTCTGAAACAGCTGAGGTCCACAGTGGTGGGAAGAGAAAGCAAGTGTGGGGAAGATCTGGGCCTAGCACTTCTGGAGGGAGCCAAGGACCAGGCAAGGAGTCGGGTGGCCAGCTAGGACTCAGGGAAGAAGCCACTTCAGCCCCCAGGAAGGTTCGTGGTGGCTGTCTCTGTTCTTCTTCTTCTTCAGCGTCTCTTCTGCTCCTTGTCCACAGAGAGAAAGGCAGCAAGCTGACCCGGAAGCTGATCTTCTCCCCGTTGATGGCACAGCACCTCCGCACCAGATTCGATTGCTTCATCACTGACCCCTCCGGCGTATTTCAGAAGACCATCCAGTGGGACCGTTCAAATCCAAAAAGCTGCAAAAGTTGAGCTGGCCAAGTGAGAGGGCCCCCAGGTGAGGAACATCAACTGAGCACATTTCATGGCTCACCTGAGGGGCAGGTGGCATCTGAAGGTCGAGGATCCCATTGGGATCCGGTTATGGTGAATTCATCGGCCCAATGCACGGGTCCAAAAAAGTGGCCAACGCAGGGCACCAATACAAGGGCTGTGAAGATGCAGATTCCTTGACCTTGATGGTGGGACTCCATCTTGCTCTTTCCATCAAATGAGTCTCTGGGCCAAAGAGGATCTTCACTAGGAGCCAACGTTTCCCTCCGAGGTGATGAGAACCAGGCTCCCCAGGACTGGAGGGCACAAAGCAACCCAACAACTTACAATGACCCCAGTGCCATAGCACAGTTATAGAATGCCTCCCCCATTTATCTCCTATCTAAGCTACTCCTGCCCGCTCTGTCCTCTCACTGGGATTCCAGGATCTGCTAAAATGTCTGTAGCTCGGGGTTGACCCGGTTGGGGGTCCTAGGTGGTCTCTGAGCTTGGTGGTTTCCTTCCAGACGTTTCAATACTCAACAAGGGAGCATCATCAGGAAGGGAATGGGGTTTGCAGGGAGGAGGAGGAAGAAGACTGTGGGGTCCTTGGTGCTCTCTGAGTTTGGTTGTTTTCTTGCAGGCGTTTCATGACCCAACTAGGGAACGCAGCTGGCTGGGGAATCCTGGGAGTTGAAGTCCGCAAGTCTTAAAAGTCACCAAATTTGGAGACTCCTGGCTTAGAATATTGGAGAATAATGCTCATCTAAAAATGAGCAAATTTGTTATTTTGAAGATTTTAAATGGAGGATCCTCACGCAGAACTCCTTGGCACCAAACCAGAGGGCCCCCCCCATTCCATTCCCCAAACCCCCGATTTGTGCATTTGTACGAGTGTATTTTGCAGCAACCATGGAAGAAAAGTAAATAACCAGGCCCAGAAGACCTCAGCCCCGTTGTCGCCCGTCTCTGAATCCTGGGTTTTTGTAGAGTTTTGAATTTTTGAAATCTGCAGAGTTTGGATATTTTTAATGATTTTTCTACTTGACTTTTTGTAATCTATAAGTCGCCTTATGGGGTAGATGGGCAGCATGAAAATTTAATCAATAAATAAATGGCCAGGACGAAGGTGTGACTGAGCTGGGAGGACCCGATTCCTGGAAACGCTGCAGAAGATTCAAAGTCTACTTTGAAACGTGGTTTAATCCTGCTGCCCAAAGAACCTGGACTTCCACCTCATCTTAACGCAAAGGAGAAAAGTGACAAAGACCTGAAAAGCCCAGATTGTAAAAGGAGGAAATTCTCCATCCGTTTCTGTAAAATGTTTCCTCTTCCTTTGAGATAAAACTTAATTCCCCTGCTGGATCCACACCACCCATTAAAAACCCCAATTCTAAGTGCCATGATGTGGTCGTTTTTCCATGCTGGAGAAGACGGGGGTGGAACGGTTTTCCCAAATGGCGGCTCAAAATTAGGAAGCAGCTGCTATTTCCTAGCAACTTTAGCATCCTCGGCAGCCCTTCCCCGGGTCTTGTGTTCATACCTGCACTGCAGGTAGTCCTCGGCTTACAACAGCTCACTTAGTGGCCATTCAAAGTTACAATGGCACTGAAAAGAGAGACTTGCGACCGTTTTTCACACTTACAACCGTCGCAGCATCACTGTGGTCGTGAGATCAAAATTCAGACCCGTAATTATGACGGTCGCAATGTCCCAGGGTCACGTGATCCCCTTTTGCGACCTTCTAACAAGCAAAGTCAAGGGGGAAGCCAGATTCACTTAACAACCAGGTTAATAATTTAAGAACGGTAGTGACTCATTTAACAACCGTGGCAAGGCAGGGCAAAATTCGCTTAACCAATGTCTCACTTAGCAGCAGAAAATTTGGGCCGTATTCTGGTCGTACGTTGAGGACTTTGGCTGGTCTGAGAAGAGGGAGACCCCCTCAAGAGGTTGCAGAGAGGGCAGTTCTGGAGTGTGGGGAGGGGCCTTTTCTGGCTGCCTTCCCCAGGGAGAAAACCCTCTGCCCATCCATGCCCCTCGGGGCTCCTTCCCAGGGGGGCTCCGGGGTCCCCCTGATCTCCTGGACCACCGCTGGGACTTGGGAGCTCTGCCGGCTGAAGAAAACTTTACAGGTGGTCCTTGACATACGGCCATCAGGAAGCCTGCCTATTATGGTTACGAGTTGTAAAACGGGTCGGTCATGTGATTGACATAATTTTAGGGGGTTCTTTTGAAGAGTGGTCACAAGTGTGAATCCGATGTTTGCCATGGCTGCTCTTTGGCCAAAACTGGAAATCAAATCCTGGTTTCTGGAAAAACTATCATAAAACTGAGTGTGGGATGTTGCCAACAATCCTAAAAACACGACAAGGATGGGGGAAGGAGGACTGCAGGAACCTCGAACTCGGTCGTAAGTCCCATTTTTCAGGTAGGTCATAAGTTGAGGACTACCCGTATCATGCAACATTCCACAGTATTTGCATTAAAAGGTTTTTTTCCAGAATTCTCTCTTTGGAAAAGGCATTTTTGTAAATTGCTGTAAGTCTGCTGACTTCTGGAGCTCCTCTTGGTGCAACATGCGGTCTGTTTGTGCCCAGAAGTCAAAGGGAGACCCTCGGGGGTCCCTTGGCAGGCCTAGAGGAGGTCAGCCACTGAGAAGGAAGTTGGCCCCTCCACCAAGGCCTTAAAGCCGGTGAAACAACACTGATTTTCTTAATTTCTTTCTTAAATAAGCTTTGTTAATATCTCTTAGTTCCTTCAATTATGTAGTTGAGGTTCCTGGATGCATTTCTGAGCCTGTAAATCAAAGTTGTCCAACAACTTTTAAGACCTGCAGACTTCAGCTTCCAGTATTCCCCAGCAGCCATGCTGGCCAGGTAGGGAAATCTGGGAACTGAAGTCCACAGGTCTTAAAACTGCCAATGTTGGACACCCTGCTGTAAAAGAATTTTTTTTCCTACACTTTGTCTTATCGTTTGCTTATAATTAATGATTGTAAACTATGATCTATGACCTATTTTTTGCTGTTCATATGTCCACTGTGAGCTTCTACACCAGAGACAACACTTGGCCAATAAAGAAGTCTATTTCTATTTCTATTTCTATTCCTATTCTACTTTACTCCTTTTATTTTATGCTCGGCTTTGTATTCTGTATTTCATGCCATTCTAAACTCTGCACAATTGTAGGAAGTCCTCTGGGTCCTACATGTATTAAATCAAGTATCTTTTTTGCTGCAGCTTTGATTTCACCTACAGGAGACATTTCCCCTTTAACAGAAGACCCCAGAAAGGTTCTTGAGAGGGTTGTCAGGAGACTGCACTCTGCACAAGGGCAGGAGAACGTGGTCCTTGGCCAGGCCCCCCTGCCTGGCCTTACGCTGCCCTGTCCAGTCCCCCAAGACAATTCTGAGGCTGTCCTGAGGGGGGGCAGGCAGACACTCACTGCAAAGCCACATTCCAACCACTCTTGGGAGAAAAATACCATTTATTTACAAGTAGAAACATTATTTAAAATGACACATTTCCTGCTAAAGTCTCTACAAAGGCGAGTAGTAGAGGGTTGCAAGCAGGGGAGACCCCAGTTGGTGCCCCCCCTCAGCCTGGGAGCCTTCCTCCGTCAGGGTCTCCCTCTCACCCTCCAATTGGGGGTCTCCGGTTGAGAGCCAGCCCTGGGCAGCCCCACGGCTTCTGGGCCCTGCTCGCTTGTGGCCCAGGCCTGGTGCAGAAGTGCACCCCGTCTGATCTGCCACCCAGGGTCACCCCCACCCTGACCGCCTACCTGCTCCAGGGGAGTTTCTGGCACCCCCACCTGGAAACCTCCCCGGCTCCAACCCAGGCTCTACAGATTGCGATACGAAGCAAGGGCGCTAAGTAAAGCTGTGACAGAAAGAGAGGCGGTGCCCAAGCTGTCCCTCCCCCCCTCCCGAACGGAATGGCAGAGCCCCCCCCCCATCCTCTGCCAGGGCACGATCTCTGGGTGCCCCAAGAGGCCGGGGCTAGGAAGCAGGACCACAAGGGAGGAACCCACCTCACCTCTTGGCCAAAGGAAATTGAGCCTTCCTAGAAGTACAAGGAACCCAGAACGGAAAAGCGGTGGGGGGGGGCATCAGCAGGAGGGAGAAGACCCCCCCTCCCCCAAAAGGCCTTGGGATGCCAACCGCAGGGCCCCGAATGAGTGGGGGAAGGGAAGGGAGATGAAGGAAGGGAGGGAGGAAGAGAAAGGAAGGAAGGAAGGATAAAAGGAGGAAAGAAGGAAGGAGGAAGGAAGGAAGGAAGGAAGGAAGGATGAAAGGAGGAAGGAAGGGAAGAAAAGGAGAGGCGCAGAGGGGGAAAGGGGGAAAGGAGGAAAAGGAAAAAGGGGATAAACAGAGGGGGAAGGAAGGCAGCTACACTCACAGAGGCTGTGAACGGGAGGTCCCCCCCTGCTCCACCCAGGCTGGGACAGGGAGGGAGGCGAGAAGGCCAGGCTCCTAGGCCTGCTTGAGGCACGGGGGGAGGAGGGCAGGGGGGCGCAGGGGCTGGCAGCGGCAGAGGGGCAGCGGCCCCCTCCTCCCTTTCCTTCGGGAAGAGATGGAACATGGTTGAATCGGCAGCCAAAACGAAGGGAGCTAGAACTTCACCTTCTGGGACTTGGAGCTGGTCTGCAGGAGAGAAAGAGACAGGAGGAGTTGGGGGGCTGGCGGGGGGGGGAGGAGGGAGGGGACCAGAAGCTGGGCAAACGTGGGGGAAATCCTACTGCTCACCCCCCCACCCCGCCCCAAACACACACACACACACACCCCGACGGGAGCAGCACAAAGGCCTGGGGAGGCAGCCGAGGGCAGGAAAGCCGCTCGTGCCAGCAAACCAGCCAACTGTGGGTCAGGAGAGTGTGAGATACTCTGACACACACGTGTGCACACACACACACACACACACACACTCTGGTGCTTCCATCCAGAAACCAGCCTCCCCCCCCCACGTGGGAGAGGGGGGGAAAGGTGAGGGGACCCCCGTGTGCGTGTGTCTCCCCTAGACCCAGACAGGAAAGGCTGCATGCAACCCTGCAGAGCGGGCCAGCGCGCACTTGCCTGGTGTGGCCACCCCCGAGACCTGTGGAAGCAAAGGATGCTCAGAAGGACCCGATTTGGGAGGGGGGGGGACAGGGAGGGGACAGCTCTGGTCCAGAGGAAGAGGAGAACAAAAAACCTAACCTGGTTTGGGAACTGGGGTTTGTTGGCTCTCTTGCTGACTCCCCTTCCTAACCCCCCCCCATCATCAAGATCCTTCTCCACACCAACAGAGAGGGCCCCCCCCCTTTGCTTTCAGTACAGGTCCTGTCTTCGACTTACGACTGTAAACATGGTCGTTTAAGCAGCTCATCCTGTGAACAATTTAATTTCATGGCATTATCCTTCCACAGACCACGAAGCAAAGCCAGAAACGGTAAATAAAATTCTGGCTTAGGGCCAAAAAAAAAAAAAAAAGGTGATAAATCAGAGTCCTGTGACTGAAGGACGCTGTAAGGGGCCATATAGGCAGGCCGGTTGCTGGGGGTCAGGTGACCGTGGCTTGTGGGTGGGGATGAGGGCATCGTAACTTTGAATCTGGGTCATAAGTGCCTCCCGGGAGTCTGCCATAACTTTGAGCGGTTGGGAAGTGAACCGTCGTAAGTCGAGGACTACCTGTATTAGGATGTCGATTAAACGAACACGCACACGTGCACACATGCCCAAACGGGGCTCTGTAGAGCATCCAGCAGAAAGTACTTTCCGCTCAGATCTGGGATTAGGGTATTGGGGACGGGTGGGCAGGTGGGGTTCAGGCATGGAAATCTGGGGCTCCCTCCCTCCCTCCCTCCCACCCCCTTACCTTGCCCTTCGAAGACGTGGCGTTCCTTGGAGACCTCCGGCTGCCACTCCGAGGGGAGTTTTTGGGAGTCACCTTGCGATTGGCCCCACGGCGCAAGAGGCTGTTCCCCAGTTTCTTCGGGGTGTTCAGGATGCTGAAGGCCAGTGAGTGACGCCTCTCAGACTGGGGAGGAAGCAAAATAGGTTTCCCTTTGGAGGAGGAGGGGGGGGTGAGGAGGAAGAGGAGGGGGGAGGGAGGGAGGAGGAGGAGGGGAGGGGGAAGGGAGGGAGGAGGTGGAGGAGGGGGGAGGGATGGGAGGAGGAGGAGGAGGGGGGAGGGAGGGAGGAAGAGGAGGGGGAGGGAGAGGAGGAGGAGGAGGGGGAAGGGAGGGAGGAGGAAGAGGAGAGGGGGAGGGAGGGAGGGAGGAAGAGGGGGGAGGGAGGGAGGAGGAGGAGGAGGGGGAAGGGAGGGAGGGAGGAGGAGGGGGAGGGAGGGAGGGAGGGAGGGAGGAGGAGGAGGGGTTCTTGGTGCTCTCTGAGCTGGTCTGTTTTCTTCCTGAGTGTTGTTTGCTCTCCGTTTATATACAAATAGTTTGCTTGCAGAGAGGGAACCCCACTCCCTTCATAGCCCTGATGAGGTTGCCTAGTTGGGTCAGGAAACGTCATGCAAGAAAACCACCCGGCTCAGAGAGCATCAAGGACTCCACAGTCCAACCCTGAGCTACAAAGATTCCCTTCTCCTGAATCCCAGGTGTGCTGTGGGAACCACGGATTTGAGAGTGAGGGGCTGACCTTACCTTTAACCAATTAAACCGACAGCCCCCAATTGTGGAACTCAGATCCAGCCACGTTTCCCACCCCTTCACATACAGGACCTGGATGCAGGCTCTGTTCTCTGGACCGTTGGAAGACCCGAAGGCACAAGGTTAGGCACAAACCGTCATGGAGAACATCTATCTAGGTGGTCGCTAAGAACCGGCCACAAACTGATGGCAAGTAATCTGGGTTAGGATTAGGTTTGTGGGTCAAAAGCAAAGTTAAAAAGCTTTTACAACTAAAGTAGCTCCCGTTTGTTTTCCCTCTGGGCGCCCACAGGTACTTCTAATAGGCTCTGATCCAGGGTCCCCACCTTGCAACTCCCAGAATTCCCCAGCCAGCCACGTGAGCCTGCTCTAAGCATCAGGGGAGGAGGGAACCCTTTTAGGAGTCTGGGGTCCCCTGGTGCCCCCAGACGGCCTTACCTGCTTGTCCGCTGCCTGGGCTTTGCTTTTCTTCTCACCCGCCGGGGGCCCCTGCTTGCGGTCCTCGGCCCTCCCTTTGGGGGTCTGGGGCCGGGGGAAGCAGGCGGATTTCTTGACCTACAACAAGAGCAGAGGGGGAGAGACGGAGTTGCAACAGCTTCCGCTGAGGAGACAAGCCTCCTTCCCCCCTCCCTGGACAGCTAAGTACAGAATGACAGAGTTGGAGGGGACCTGGGAGGTCTTCTAGTCCAACCCCCTGCTGAGGCGGAAGACCCTAGGCCAGTCATGGCTAACCTTTTACGTCACCGTGTGCCGGAAACGGCACGCAAAACCATCCTGCCTGGACCGTGCGGCCTCGCTGGCCTTCGTGCATGGGGGATCACCAAAGCCCAGAAGAGCAGCCTTCTGTTGCGCACGCAAGAACCGGCACCCGAACTTCTGGTTTCCGGCATGGATGCGCACCCGACAAACAGCTGGCTGTCGCGTGATGTAAACTCGGAAGTTCAGGTGCCGGGTCACGCACGCGCGATGGAACGCTGCTCTTCCGGATTTCCAGCTGACCGGTGCACATGTGTGCACAGGAACGTGGAGGAGCCAGCGAGCCCTTGTGGGATGGTTCTGCGTGCCACTTCCGGCACGGGTTCCACAGGTTCCCCAACACGGCCCTAGACCCTAGAAGGCTGCTCTCCTGTCTCCCCTGGCCCTCCTCTTCACTGGACCAGCCAATGCCCCATTGCTGCAACCGTTCATCGTAGGTTTTAGCCTCCCGTCCCCTCATCATCCTTGTGGCTCTTCTCTGCACTCTTTCCAGAGTCTCTACAACCTTTTTGTATCATGTTGGCCAACACTGACAAATCTAAGAAACTGTTGTGGTCCGCTAGCAGCTTGCAGAGCTGGCAGCGGAGTCGGACAGTGAGGAGGCTGGGGAGGAACATGGGCCAGTCCTGGAGTCTGGGGAAGGCCCGGACGAGGGCTCTACGTCGGAGGCAGAGATGGGGCCAGGGCCATCTGGGAGCGATGCGCGGACTCCGGAGCCTCCAGAGTCGGACATCAGAGAGGCAGAGGAACAGGGGGAGCCTGTTCTTAGTGCACGCACGCAAAGAGCTGCCAGAAGGCAAGAGCAGCTAAAGCAAAAGGGACGACTCAGGAGTAAGGCCAGGAGATAATTGGCCCCTCCCAGAAGGCTTAAAAGAGCAGCAACGAGCCGTTGGGTTCTTTGTAGAAAAGCAATGTTGATTCCGGTGCTTCTTGTCAGCGTCTCTTGAACTTTGTGGGGGTTTTGCCAAGAAAAGCCTTTGGACGGTTGCCAAAGGCATCAAAGGCTGGTGATCAGGCCGAGGGACTGGTTATGAAGAACGTTGCTTTGGACTAAGCTGAGAATGAATTAATTTTCAGCTGTTTTAATAAAATAAGTTTGTTGAGGACTGAACTGTGTTTGGTGATCACTACTTGGGCCGTGGTCACAACAGAAACAACCAAGGAAGGCAGAGGTGGAATTCCAATTTTTTTACTACCGGTTCTGTGGGTGTGGCTTGGTGGGCGTGGCAGGGGAAGGATATTGCAAAATCCCCATTCCCTCCCCACTCTGGGCCAGAGTGGTTCTCTGAACTACTCAAAATTTCCGCTACCGGTTCTCCAGAACCTTCCAGAACCTGCTGAATAAAAACCCCTGAAGGAAGGAGCCATGCAAGAAGAGCCACCGTGGGCCTCCCGTGACCCCAAGAGGCTGGCGTTGGTGCCTGAGGAGACACTGCCCACTGTGGCCCACAAAGCCCCTCCCCAGCAGCCGAGGGGGGGGGGGTCCAGACTCCCTCAGCAGCTGAGGAAGAGGGGCAGCAGCAACATTCGCCTTCCCCAGCTTGCAAGATGTTGGCCTTCCAGTGTCAGCAGGTCCAGGGCCCCAGATCCTCCTGGAGTTGCTCACCTCGGGGGTCCCTGGCCCCGTCTGGGGTTCGTCCGAAAGGCGCTTCCGCTGCTGCCGCGTGGCGACCCCTCCCAGCGCCCAGGCGGCACTCAGCGTGCTGCGGCGGGTGCTGGGGCCCTCCACAATCTGGGAGGGCAGCATGCTGGCTCGTCGGAGGGTCTCCTTGGGGTCTCCGGTCATCACCTCTTCGTCCGTGATGGTGGTCAGGAGTGGACAGGGCTTGAGGGGGGGGGGAAGAGAGAAAACACAGGGCCATTCAGGAGCAGCCCCAGCCCCAAAGGAGAGCTAGCTGCCAATGGTGGCCACTACAGGTAGTCCTCGGCTTATAACAGTTTGTTTAGTGATTGTTCAAAGTTACAGCAGCACTGAAAAAAGTGACTTACGACCGTTTTTCACACTTACGGCCCAGGGCCATGTGATCAAAATTTAGACGCTTGGTGACTGACTTGTATTTATGACGGTTGCAATGTCCTATGGTCATGTGATCCCCTTTTGCGGCAAGCCACATCAATGGAGAAACCGGATTAATTTAACGACTGGGTCACTAACTTAACACCTGCAGTGATTCACTTAACAACAGTGGCAAGTAAGGTCATAAAATGAATCAAACCTCACTTAATAGATGTCTCACTTAGCAACAGAATCTCTGGGCGTAAGTCGAGGACTACCTGTAAACAGGTGCATGGGGAGGCGGATTGAGAGATTCCTTACTTATCCAACCAAGGAGATCATAAGAACCTGCTGTGAAACTGCTCGGGGTCTAATGGGAGGGCCCCCCCATCCACCCCTTTTGTCCAGATCTGAATAAATGGCCTACCTGACTAGCAGGAGCCCTGATGTGCCTGTGGGGAACTGACCCACGGAGGGCGGAAGAAAACCGGAAGCTCCCTCCCGGAGCACCAGAAGAGGCCAGGCGGCCACTCACCCGGGACTCCAGAGGGTAGCAGGTCTTCAGGTGAGGCGGGCAGATGCGGTTCCGCTGCTGAAGCTCTGCAATGCGGTTCCAGCTGTCCAGCTGCTCAGGCTCATCGTCACAGGAGGCTGCGTAGAAGCTGCTGCGGCCTGCGGGGGGGAGGGGAGGGGAGGGGAGGCAGGGTGTGGATGGGCAGGTTTTCCTAAGGGGCTCCGAATCCCCCCCCCAAGGGGTGAAAGATCCCACTCGGAGAGCAACAGGGGAGACGGAGCATCCCATGCAGCCCAGGCGGGGTGGGATCGCGAGTGGCTCGCGAGGGCAGCTTTCTGCAATCGTGTCCCCCTCTCTCTCCTCTGTGTTTGTCCACCTGACAGCTGCAGCACAAAGCCACATCCCCAGAATGGCCTTTCTCAACTATGCCCACTCTAAGACGTGTGGACTTCAACTCCCAGAATTCAGCAGGGTTGAATTCCCAGAAGGGCTGGCTGGGGAATGCTGGGAGTTGAAGTCCACCCATCTTAAAATACGGATTTAGATGGTTCTGAGGGGGGATCTGGATAAAGCAGGGCTCTCCAGACTTGGCGACTTGAAGACTTGTGGATTCCAACTCCCAGAATTCCCTAGCTACCACGGCTGCTTGGGAGTTGGACCCCAAGTCTTAAAAGTTGCCCAAAGTTGGAGCTACCCCTGGGATAAGGTCATGGAGGATCGCGCCATTGATCTCGGTCAAGAGAAAGTTTCGGATCAAGGGGGCAGAGAACCCCACCTCTCACAGCACCCTGAAGATCAGGGTTCCCCCTCCCTCCCTCACATGGCAGGGCCCACACCCCGTGCCTCCCACTCTCACCGGTGTTTGCACCCCCGCCTTGGGAGTGTCTCAGAGAACTGCGGGTGGCAGGTCGGTAGCCAGGCAGGCTCTTCAGGGTGGCGTGGCCAGAGGTGCCATCGGGCGAAGAGGCGGCCAGCCTGACGAGGGACTCCTGGGAGGGGAGGCTGGCCAGAGAGCGGGTGGAGGAGGAGGAAGCCGCCGCCGAACGCAGGCGGGTCTTGACCGACTCCTGGCCGCTGTCCCCTGAGCCGGAGGACCGCAGGCTGACGAAAGACTCGTTGGTGCTGTCCAGAGGTTCCAGCTTGGGGTGTTTCTGTGAAAGAAGACGAACGGGGTGATGTCCCCCCCCAAACGGCAGACGCGACAGCAGCCGTCGGCTCCAGTGGCAGGTCCCCTGAGGGCGTAGGTAGGACCAGGAAGGGTCTCTCGCTCCCTGGCTCCCCCCACCCTTCAGGGTCCACAGGCCCCCTTCACCCCCTTACTTTGATCATGGTAATGTTGATCAGCTGTGTGGTGCGCCGACGTCCAGAGAGCGCCTTCCGTCCCGAGTCCAAGGTGATATTGCCGATGGAGTCGATGCTGTTCTCCAGCTTGGACCGCGAGCGGGTGGGGATGGGGGTGAAGTAGAGGCTCTCCAAGGACTCCCTCTTGTGGGGCAGCGCCTGGGAGGTCTTGGACGATTCCACGGCCCCCGATTCGGACAAAGAGCGGCGGGTCTTCCTGCTGGGGAGAAGCAGAGCAGGAGGCCTTGAAGGGGGCAGGGCTGCCTGGAAACAGAGGCTCCACGCCCACATGGACAGCTCCATCTGGGGGAATCTCAGCTGCTGCGGCCTGCATGGGATCACCTCTCTTGCAGGAGCTGCATTGGTTGCCCGTTTGCTTCCGGTGCAATGCAAGATATTGGTCGTCACCTCTAAAGTCTTACATGGTTTCAGGCCAGGTTCTTTGAAGGACCCTCTTTTCCCAGTGACAGACACCTGAGCCACCATAGCAAGGAGGTAGGGGAAGTTATGGGTCTCCTCTCTTGAGGAGGTCCATCTGGTGGGAGCTAGAAGAAGGGCCTTCTCCGTGGTGGCTCCCTCCCTGTTATTTGAAGGACCGTCTTTTCCCAGTTACATCCACCTGATCCACCAGAACGGAGAGGCAGGAGATGTTACGAGACACCCCCGCCCCCCTTTAAGGAGGTCCATTTTAGTGGGACCTAGAAGAAGGGCCTTCTCCATGGTGGCTCCCTCCCTGTGGAACATCATCCCTGCAGAGATAAGACTGGCCTCCATCTTGATCCTCTTTCGAGAGGCCCTGAAGACATGAACTTGCCAATGGGCTTGGAGATCCCTCAGAGGGATACAGAGCCCATCAAGGGTGGTGTGTGTGGGTATGTTATTTGGGTATGTGTTGGGGGTCTTACTTCTGTAAGCTACCTAATGTGGGCAGCTTTATAAATTTTCTTAATAAATAAATATGTTTCATGCCCTGCCATAATCTCTCATTCAGTCTGAAGACCCCAAAACTACCAACGGAAGAGAACATTTGTAGCTCCGGAGTGAACAGAGGGGTCCTGGATGCTCTCTGAGCTTGGTGGTCTTTTTGCAGGCATTTTATTATCAAGCTAGGTGACCTCATCAGTGTTGGAAGGAGGGAGGTTGGCAAAGAGGAGGACAACTAGGAAGGCTGCCGGGTCCTTGATGATCTCTGAGCTTGGTGGTTTTCTTACAGGTGTTTCATGCCACAACTAGGTAATCTTTGATAGATTTTAGCACTGATGTCTGCAAAAACAAACCCCACCAGGCTCAGAGAGGAGCAGAGACCCCCAAAGAACCAGCCTCCGTTCTGCAGCAACCTGAGAGCCCCACTCTGGGAGCAAAGACGTTCCCCAAGGAACCTGGGCAGGAGTGGTGGTGCAGAAGGAGCGCCCCAGGGGAGGAGGCCGCCAGGTACCTGGTGGAGTTGAGGGGCTGCCCTTCGTCGCTGGTGCTCAAGTCCAGGCTGTCCGTGCTGATGTCGGCCGAGCTCTGCCTGAAGGTCTCCCGGCCCTTGAGGGTCTCCAGGGCTGCCTGGACCTTGCCCTGCTCTCGAAGCGGCCGATCCGAGAAGTCCAGCTGTGGGGGGATTGGGGCAGAATGAGAAAGAGGAGCCCTGAGGAAGCCAGGCCCAAGAAGGCCAACAAAAGACCCCCTTCGGGACCTCTATAATTCAATGCTCCTGCTGAAGGTAGTCCTCAACTTACAGCCATCTGTTGAGTGACCATTTGGAATTACAATGGCACTGGAAAAAAGCGACTTATAACTGGCCTTTGCACCAACTGTTGCAGCAACTCCGTACTTGTACTTATGACGGCTGCAGGGTGACTGGCCTTTGTGACCTTCTGATCAGCAACGTCTGAGGGGAAGCCAGATTCGCTTAACAACCGTGTGATTAACTTAACATCTGCAGCGATTCCCTTAACAACTGTGGCAAGAAAGGTCGTAAAATGGGGCAAAACTCATTTAACAACTGTCTCGCTTAGCAACGGAAATTTTGGGCTCAATTGTGGTCAAGGACCACCTGCACATGAATGCAAAGTTTGAAATTCACATGGAGCTATAACCTGAAAGAAATCTTTAATGAAACGATGTGTTATTTGGTATTTTAACCTCTGACCCTCCCCCACCTGCGCCTGCAGGACCCGGACTTGGCTGGTGAGGCTCTTCAGGCTGAGCTCCGACTCGGTGGCCTGCAGTGCCGTGCGCTGCAACTCCTTGGCCAGGCGCTCCGACTCAGCCTTCAGCTCGGCATTCTCCTTCTCCAGGTGCTCCAGGCCCTTCAGCTTCTCCAGCAGCTCCTGGTTCTGCTGTTTCTTGGCATCGTAGTGCGTCCTTGCCTTCTCCATCTGCGGGCGCAGAAGAGAGAACCCGTCAGCTCTGCCTCAGCTTGAACCTCCAAGTAAAAACAATCCTTAACTCCATCCGTCAATCGAGACAGGTATAGTCTACTAGAAGTCACGTGAATTACAACAATGCAAATCCGGAACTGAAAATCGCGTGCCCAAATCTTCCCGTCTACTTTATCCTTTTCTTAGGTGCCTCCCCTTGCTGCCCCCCCCCACATGTCCAATCAAATTCAAAGAATTTGAAGCCGCATCTCAGGGAGATACAGTGAACTTTTTGCTTCCCATGAAAACTGACCTCTCCCATCCTATCCACCCACCCACCCACCCACCGTGTACTCGGTGGCAGACTGGCACCGAGTGAAGTGCAAGTGTGAGGTGGCAGCTGACAGGACCCCCCTCGAGCCTCCATCGAGGGGTCCCTCCTGCAAGCCCTTCCCTCCCCCTGATGTGGGAGCTAGCAGACGCCTGGGGTCCTACCTGAGCCTTGTAATGCTCGGCAGCCTGTTCCTTCTTCACCAGCTGAGCCTGAAGATCCGCCGTCTTCTCCTTCAGCTGCTTCATCTCCGAACGGAGTTCCTCTTCACGCACCTATGAGAGGGAGACACACCTCACTGTCTCAGAGAAGGAAGCATCCCTTCCTCCTCAGCCCACTCGGGTCACCCAGAGGCGATCTGCCCCACCCCTCTTCTGAGGTTCCTCCCACTCCAGGATTTAAGACTTTAACCTGGCTGAGCTGTCCCAATGAAGAAGAATATTTGCTACCAATAAAGGAGGATCCTTTAGCCATGGTGAGCCACGGTGGCACAGTGGTTAGAGTGCAGTACTGCAGACTACTTCTGCTGCCTGCCGGCTGCCTGCAATTTGGCAGTTCAAATCCCACCAAGCTCCAGGTTGACTCAGCCTTCCGTCCTTCCGAGGTGGGTAAAATGAGGAGCCAGATTGTTAGGGGAAGAGGCTGACTCTGTAAACCGCTTAGAGAGGGCTGGAAAGCATTGTGAAGCGGTATATAAGTCTAAGGGCTATGGCTATCTTTGTAGCTCAGGATTGAAATGAGGGGCTCTTGATGCTCTCTGAGTTTGACAGTTTTGTTGCAGACTTTTCATTACCCAAACTAGGTAACGTCATCAGTGCTAGTAAGGAATGAGGTTTGCGGTCAGTTTATATTCTGGTGCCTTGCCTGTCTGTGTGGGTGGGTGGGGGGTCTTAGAGATTCTTTGGTTGGGCTGTTTACTGATGACTCTTTGGCAGTTTCTTAATTGGGGGGTTGCTTACTTGATTGTTGGTCTGAAATTAACAGCTTTTGGCTGTCATGTTTTTCACGAATGGAAGGCAAATATACTTTGCACTGCACCTCCCAGAGGCTACTATGACAAATCACGCATTGTAAAGATCACTTGGAGGTGGGAGTTACTTCCAATGTAATCTACTGGATCCCCTGCATGGATTGCCCCTGTGACTATATGGGACAGACAGGGAGGAAACTAAACCACCAGATTGCAAGAACACAAGCGAGCGGTCAGACGAGGAGACCCGAACTCATTGGTAGCCTCACACTGCAATGAACAAGGACATACATTTAATTTCGCATCTACCAAGATTGTTGGCCGAGCAGGGACAAAAACAGCCAGGGAAATGGTTGAAGCCTGGGGAAAAAGGAGTGCTGATTTATGATCAGCTTATCAGATATTTAGGAGCTGAGGGCTTGGAAGCATAAGGAAACAAAAGCCAATCACCAGCCATCAATACACCCATCGGCCAATAGGAAGGTGTCGCATAAATACTGGGCATAGAATAGAGAGAAGTTCCTTGAGGATGGGATCCAGCACGAATCTGAAAGCTCCGAAAATAATACTGTGGTTCCGGTGATCGACCCAGGTAGGATCTTGCCATGTTTTTATTTGCACTTCTGTTCTGATGCTATTTATGCTAGTCAAAATCTTGCATGCCACCCCATCGTAGCAACGGGTGGAGTAAAACGAAGTGTGAAATAAGACTGTGCAAGCCAATCAGACTGAAGTTACAGCTACATGGAATAATTTGACCTGGAACTTTTTCCTTGGTGGGCCTGAGGTTGAGGCCAGGTGGAGGTGTGCAAGCCTTCCTGTGCTGGAAACCTACCTTTGCTTTCTGCTGATGGGTCTGGCTGGCCTTCTCCTGCTGAGCCAGCTTCTTTTTCAGCTCATCCACCTGGAGGAGGAAGAGGCGGAGAAGTCATTCCAAGTCTCCCCTCTTCCTGCCTGCGGCCCCTTGAGCTCTCCCAGCCTCCAGCGCCCTCAGGGGCCCCCATTTCACACAAAGACTTCTGGGACCCCTATAAACGGTTTGCAGACTCAATTAAGATTCCTGCTAGCCAGCTGGGTAAGGTGGTGGCAGCACCCATCTTCCCCAGCCCCTTGAATGGTGGGAGGGTTGGGGCTGGACTCTTCCATCTCCCATTGATCATCTTCCATCTCCCCAGGATCAGGAGTGGGGGAAGGGCCTGGAAAGCTGGGGTGGGGGAGAAGGCAGAGGAGAGATGACCTCCATGGCTCTTCTCTAGGAAGAAATTCACTAGGCTTCCTGGAAAGAAGCCAGGATCGATCTGGGAGAGCTGCAACCTGGACCTGGAGGGCAACAGATCCAACAAATGGACCGGATGGGAGGAGAAACTGAGCAGATGCGGGGCTCCCCACCCATGGCCTCTGCCTTGCCTTGGGAGGAGGGAACATTTCCTCTTTTTTCAAGGGAAGGGAAGTTTGGCCAACTGGCACGCAGAGACAACTGGACAACAATCTAGCTGGGGAATTATACAGGTAGTCCTTGACTTACAACAGTTCGTTTAGTGACCGTTTGAAATTACAACGGCACTGAAGAATTGACTTGTGACAATTTCTTCACACTTAGGACCGCTGCAGCATCCTCATGGTCACGTGATCAAAATTCGGACACTTTGCTATTGGTTCCTATTTTATGACGGTTGCAATGTCCTGGGGGTCATGTGACCTTCTGACCACCAAAGTCAATGAGGAAGCCAGATTCACTTAACAACCGGTGTGACTAACTTAACAACCGCAGCGGTTCATTTAACAACTTTGGCAAGGAAAGGTCTAAAATGGGCCCAAACCCACTTAACCAACGTTTCGCTTAGCAACAGAAATCTGGAGCTCAACTGTGGTCGTAAGTCGAGGGCTACCTGTAGAGCCCAGGAGCAAAGCCCCACTCCCTCTGGCGTGCCCCCCGTGGCCAAGAGGTCAGAAGGGAAGATGCCAGCTCCACCGTGAAGCTGCCGGTCTCCTGGGCATGTTACCTGCTTAGCTTGTTCCCGCTGATGTTTCTCCAGCTTCTCTGCCTGCAAGTTGGGGAGGAGAAAGGGCTGCAGAGGTCAGGACATCACAACCCAAAGCCCCCCCCCCAGAGCCTGTGGCAGTGGTGTGTGTGTGTGTGTGTGTGTGTGTGTGTGCGTGTAAGCTCAACTCCTCCCCCTTTCTAAATCCATCCAAAGGACCGCTGAGCCCACCTCTTCCCACCACACGTCCCACCTAACCCCAAGTGATTCGGTCGGCATTGCCCATTTCACGAAGCGCCCTATCTACAGCAGGGCAAAAGGGATGGAGGCACCGCCCGGGCACGAGCCAAACCTGGGAGTCCTCTGAGCTATTTTGACCGGCTGGGTGGGCTCCACTACCCCTCCCCTCCTTACAAAACGTGATCCTCACCCCCAAACACGTTGAGATAAAGGCTAGGATGGCCAACCGTCATTAACTGTGGGGTCCTGGGTGCTCTCTGAGCTGGGTGGTTTTCTTGCAGACATTTCACGACCCAACTAGGGAACGTCATCATCAGTGCTAGAAGAGAGGGGGGTTTGTGGAGTGGGGGAGGAGGAAGAAAATGAGGAGAGGAGAGTGGGGTCCTTGGGGCTCTCTGAGCTTGCCTCTTTTCTTGCATCACCCAACTACGGAACATCATCAGCGCTGGAAGGGAGGGGGTTTTGCTCTTTGGTCCTCTACGGAAATTTGCCCTCCCAGTATTGGTGGGATTCTGGGTTTTTCCTTGGTTTTTCCGTTCCTTCTTTAGTTTTCTGCTTCATTTTTTTCTCTGGTGTTAATCCCTGCTTATCTGGGTATAGGCTTCAGGGCAAGCTACTGTATATAAACATGATCAAACCCCACACTCCCTCACACTGATGATGTTACCTAGTTGGGCCATGAAACATCTGCAAGAAAACAGCCAAGTTCCACTCCATAAACACTCCCCTCCCTTCTAGCCCTGATGATGTTGGTCCCTAGTTGGGTCATGAAATGTCTGCAAGAAAACACCAGGAATCCCACAGCTCAACCCTGAGCTCCAAAGATTCCCTTAAGAACAGCCACCTCCCACCTTGAAGAATATCCGGGGGAGGGGGGGGAATCAAAGGGCTCACCTGAGCTGTCAGCTGACGCTTGGTGTCCTCGCAGGTCTTGGCCATCTCCTCCAGCTTCTTCTGGGCCTCCTCAGCCTCCCGCTTGCTCCCTGCCACCAGCTTCTCAGAGTCCTTCCGGGCAGCCTCCAGCTCCAGAGCGTGCTTCTGCTTGACCTGGGCCACCTCCCTGTCCAGGCTCTGCTGCCCTTGGGTGGTCTTCTCCGCCAGCTCCCTCTTCTCCTCGGCCAGCTGGGTGTGAGCCCGCTGGAGGGCGGCCAGGCGCTCCACATACCCGCTGTTCTCTGCTTGCAGCTGGTGGAGAAGGTGCTCTTGTTGGAGGAACTTCTCCTTGATGGAGGAGGTCTCCGAGAGCTCCTGCTTGGTCCTGGTCAGCTCCGCCTGCAGGAGGCCGGTGGTCTTCTGCAGCTGCTCCACCTCCTCCCGATGCTTGTCCCCCTGTGAGGCCTGCGAGGCCTGGAGCTGCTGGTACAAGCCCTTGAGGGGCTTCAGCTCACCAATCAAAGCCTGAGCTCCGGCCAACTCCTGCTGCTGTCCTGCGAGCTGCTGCTCCTTCTGGAAAGTCTTCTCCTGCCAGGACTTGAGCTCTTGGCCGAGGGCCTCCTCCCGCTTGGAGAGCCCGCTCAGCTCCTTCTTCAGGGTCTCCACGGACAGCCTCAGCTTCTCGGCCTGCTCCTGGGAGCTCTGGGCTTCTGCTTTCATCGCCGAGCACCTCTCTGCCGCCCGGGAAGCCGCCGTAGCCATCTCGGACTGGAGGAGCCTCAGCCTCTCCTCCAGCTTCTTGCTCTTCTCCGACTCGGCCATGACCAGGCGCCGGAGGTCCTTGCTCTCCGCTTCCTTCTCCATCAGCTGCCGGTGCATGATGGACCTGTCCTGCTCCAAGCTGTTGATGTGGCTGGCCTTCCTCTCCGCTTCCTGGCGGTAGCGGGATATCTGCTCTTTCCGGTTCTCTTCCAACCTGTCCTTCTCCTGAGCCGAGGTCCGCATGGAGGCCAACTCTTCCTCGGCTCTTGACACGGCCTTCTGGCTCCGCACCAGCTCCTCTTCTGTCTGCAGGAGCTCCCTCTTCAGTTTCTCCACGGTAGCCTTGGATGCCTCCAGGAGCTTCTCCAACTCAGAGATCTTCTGCCTCTGATGGCCCACTTCCCGCTTCAAAGCCTCCACCTCGGTGTGCTGCTGCTCCTTAGAGGCGGCCGTCAGCTTCTCCAGCTTGCCGACCTGGCCCTGGAGATCTTTGCCCTCCTTCAGCTGCTTCTCGTACATCTCCCGGAGGGTGACCGACTCCTTCTCCAAGTGGAGTTTCTGCTCTTCCAGGCTTTTGAGGGACGTGTCCTTGGAGCGCACCAGGGCTTTCAGGCTGTTGATCTCGGCTTCCCGGGTTCTGGTCACTTCCAGGAAGCCCTGCAGCTCATTCTCCATCTTGGCTTCCCTCTCCTTCAGCGCCTCCACCGAGGCCAGCTCTCCTTTCAGCTTGCTCACCGTCTTCTGCAGGTCCCTCAACTCCTCGCAGCGGGAGACGTTCTTTAGCTGCAGCTCCTCCAGCTCCCTCTCCTTCTCGCCCACCAGGTCCTGGGCCCTGGCCACCTCCTCCTGGAGGCTGGAGACCTCCACCCGGTGCTCATTGGTGAGGTTCTGCAGCTGCACCTCCAGGGCCACCTTCTGGGCCTTCTCCACGGCCAGCTCGGCATGGGCTCGTTCTTCCTCCACCGCCAGCCGCTTGGCTTCCTCCTGATGCTGAGCCAACTGGCTTTCCTGGTGCTGCACAGTCTCCTCCAACTTGGCCTTCAACGTCTTCAGCTGGGCGGAGACCTGTTCCACCTCCTGCTCTTTTTCCTTCAGAGCAGACTTGAGGCTGGACAAGCTGGATTCGGCCGTGGTCAGATCTTCGCTGCTTTGTTCTCCCAACTGCTTCACTCTGGCTTCCAGCTGCTCTCTCTTGAGCTGCTCTTCAGCCAGTCTCTTGACGGTCTCTGCAAGTTCCTGGACAGCCTTGTGCCCGTCCTTCTTGGCCTGAGCCGATTCTTGACATGTGGTAGCCACCTGCTTCTCCAAGGTGGCCACTTTGGCTCGGAGTTTCTCTTCTGAGCTCGTCTTCTCCTTGACTTGGGAAATGGACTGAGACAATTTGGCCTGAACGGCAGCCAGAGCTTCTTGGTGTTGGGCGCTGAGATTTTTCAGCTGGGCTTCCAGCTCTGCCAACTTCTTCTGGTCAGCCTGAAACTTCTGGCCGCTTTGCTCCAGCCCACTCCGTTCGGTCAGCTCCCTTTTGGCAACGGGCAACTCAGCCAGCTGACGCTGAAGCTCTTCTAGCTTCCTCCTGGACTCCTCTTCCAGTCGCTGCATCTGGCCTTCCAAGGCTTGCCTCCTGGCCTTCTCCTCAGCCATTCCTTCCACCGCCTGGTCCTTGTGCCTGGTCAGCTCCTGGACCTGCTCTTCCAGCTCTGCGATTTGCCGGAGGTTGCTCTCCAGGGACTCGGCCGCCCTCCTCTTCTCGTCCTCCAGGATCCCCTCCGTGTTGCGGACGGACTCTTCGAGGACCATCAGCCGCTCCTGAAGACGAGTATGCTCCTTGGCCAGCTTCTCCTTCTCGGCCAGCTTCTGCTGAGCTTCCCGCAGCTGGCTTTTCAAGGCTGGGACGGCTGCTGCCTGGGCCTCGCTCTGCTGGCCCTGGGCAGTGAGGGCCACAACTCTGGCCTCCAGCGCCTGGATCTTCTGACTGGCCTCCATCTTCTCCTGGTGGAGCTCCACAGCAGAAGAGGTCCGAGCGTGCTCCAGGGACTGCAGCCGCTCGGCCAGGGAGGACACTTCCACTTCTTTCTCCTGGAGCTGCCTTACGGCCAGCTCCTTCTCCTGGGCGATCCGGTTATACTCCTCCTGGCTGGCGGCTTCAATCTGGGACACCTTCTGATTGCTCTGCTTCAGGGAGCTGCTCAGTTGATCCACCTGGTGGCTCAGGTCTTCGATGGCTGCCCGAGACCTCTGCTCCTTCTTCTCCCAGTCTTCGGCCAGCTGGCTCTTCTGGCTCCTCTCGGCTTCCACCTGCTGGTGCAGAGCCAGCAGCTCCTCGTCCCTCTGGCGAAGGAAGCCCGTCAGCTTGGCGATCTCTGCCGTGAGGGTGTTGGCCTGGGCGATCAAGCATTCCTCCTGGGCCCGGCAGTCCTGCTCCAGCTTCTCCTTGGCACGAGAAATTTCGGAGCTGGAATTCTGCAGCTCCGTCAGGAGGCCCGTCAGCTGGGCTTTCTCCGCTTCAAAGCTTCTCCTTTCGGACTGGAGGTTGGCCTCGAGAAGGTGCTTCTCTTCTTCCAGACGGAGGATGGTGGCTTGCAGTTCGGCCTGCTGGCTGCTCAGGCTGGCCACTTGCTGATTCAGGCCCTCAAGCTGTGAGAGGGGGAAGCAGGGACACATCAATTACCCCAGAGAGAATCACCTGCGGGGGGTTCACTTCTCGCGCTCTCTGATCTACAGGTTGTGCTTTCCACCCCCCTCTAGGCTAACCTGGTCAAAACAGACCCCGACATTAGCAGGGAATACCGGACCAGAATGGAAAAGGAGGAGAAGGGGGGAAAGGAGGGGGGGAAAGAGAAGAGCTGAGTGACTTTGGACCAGTCCCTCTCTCTCTCAGCACAGTCCACCTCACAGGGTTGTTGTGGGCAAAACAGGAGCAGAAAGGCATATCAGATCTGTTCACCGCTTTGAGTTATTTGTAAAAAAATAATAAAGGCAGGATACCAATAAATAACTAAGTAGTTCAAGATAAAGACAACTAGCGTTAGTTCATCTTCCAGAGATGAATCGGAGCCGGCAGCCAGAGAGCATGACCCCCTCTCCTGGCTGGGGCCGGTCCTGGGGCTGCCCGGCTCCCACCTTCAAGACGTCGCCCAGGACTTCTCCTTTCACCGGCAGGGAGCTGGTCTCCTTGGTCAGCTTGGCCAGCTGGTCCTCCAACAGGGAGATCTTCCCCTGCAGAATCTCCACTTTCTCTTCCAGGCATCTCTGGGGAATCGGAGACGGAGACAAGCAATGAGAGCCCACCTGCCTCTCTGCTCTTCCCCCCACCCTCCCAAAAAGTGGGTCACCCCCATCATCCAGGGGGGGAGAAGGAACCCAGCCAACATGGGCCCCATGTGTCCCAACCTCTTCCCACTCTCCCTTCAGGCTTGGCCCTTCAAGTGGGCAGCCTCCAGATCCACTTGACACTCTGGATTGCCTTCTGGGTGCTGGTAATCTCTCTCTTCCTCTGTGTGTGTATGTGTATTCTCAAAACTATCAGAGAGAGAACTTAAGAGGGGAACTGTTTATTCTGCCCAGTCCTTCCATCTGTCTGTCTTTCCTTCCTACTGTCCTCCTTCCTGAGCTGCCTAGAATCTGTATCATCTATTTATGTATTCATCCATCCATCCATCCATCCATTTTCTCCAGCTCTCTCTCTCTCCATCTCTGTATCTCTCTCTGTGTATCTCTCTCCAGCTCTCTCTCTCCATCTATCTATCTATCTATCTATCTATCTATCTATCTATCTATCTATTATCTATCAATTATCTATCTATCTATCTATCTATCTATCTATCTATCTTTCTCTCTCTCTATCTCTCTAGCACTCTATCTACCCATCTCTGTCTCTGTCTCTCATCTATCTATCTGTCACATTTATATGGCTGCCCATCTATCAGCCAATCCTGGGTGTTTCCTAATCACTTAAATGAGATGGGTGATATAAATCAGGAGTCCCCAACCCGAGTCCGCAGCAGCCCAGCAACTGGGCCGCACAAACAAGTGAAGCCCCATCCGTGGGCTGCAGGCAGCACAAGAAACCAGGCCCCCCCTCCGGTCCATGGAAAAACCTCTCTCCACGGAACCAGTCCCTGGTGCCCAAAAGGTCAGGGGGGACGGACTGATATAAATGATAAAATTAAACGACAACACAGTGCAACCTTTCGCTTCAGAAACTGGCGGTTGCGTCTCCAGGATCAACCTGCCCTGGTCCTGATGAGAAGCCAGCCAGGTGCCCTGGGGGCCAGAACGGTGCTCTGCCCCAGCTACGGACCCCAAAGAACGCAGCACACACAAAGTCCGTGCAAACCTTAGTTTACTAATTAAGGACTACTAATGAGCTTTCTTAGTAGTTGTTCTAACACAAGTACAGTTTAAATCAGTCTTTTCTGAACAAAGGCTGTTAATTTAACTTCATTAACAGCCGACAAGAATCCAAAGAATAATAACTCAATTCTGAGGTACAGTCTTTCAGATAACCGTAATCTTACTGTGGTTGGCCAAATGCCCAAAAGCAATTTGCAGGAAAACTGACAAGAGAGAAACAAGAGCCAAATCAAACGATTCTGGAATCAAGACGCGAAGGAATATGAACGAAGTTGTTTCCTGCAAATTGCATCAGACGTCGTCCTTCCTTAAATAGGCTAGGGGAGTGGCCAATTAGCCCCAAGCCTTACTCTCGAGGAGACCTCCTCCTGAGGAACCACTCCTGCCTTTTGGCAGCTCTGCGCGCCCGTGCATCGAGAAGAGGCTCCTCCTCTTCTTCCTCTTCACTTAAGGGAGCTTCTGAAGGCCCTGGCTGAATCCCCGCCTCTGGCACCACATCTTCTCCAGCCTCCTCACTGTCTGACTCGAGTGCCAGCTGCTCAGGCTGCTGGCGTAGCACCACACCAGCCTCCTTGCTGTCGGAATCAGCCACAATCTGCACAGGCCGCTGATGGGCCACAACAAACGGGGGGGTATATTCCCCCTCCCAAGTGGGCCTGTTCATCTCTTGCTGACCTTCTCGCTCAGGGCCCTGTGGAGCTCTGCTTCCAGGCGACTCCTCCGCTCCTCCCATTCCTTCAGGGACTTGTCCTGCCCTTCGCACATTTCGTTCATGGCTTCCTGAAGCTCCGTCAAGGTGCGGGCGAACTCTCGGAGCTGAGGGAGAAGACAGGAGAGGCTTCGGTTGGACCCCCTGCCCCTTTTCCTTTTGGCAAAAGGCTGCCAGGATATGGAATGCCAAGTGTCCCCCCCCCCGAGCCCCTTGGCTCTAGGACCTCATCCTTTCTCTCCCCCCCCCCCCCCCCAATCCTAAAACCCAGACTCTGCCACCCTCGTACCCGGAAAGTGAGTTCTCCGTTCTCCTCGGAGAGCTGGTTGATCTTCCGGTCCATCTGCCCCTTCTCCGTCTTCAGATCCTGGCACTGCTTCAGGGTCTCATGCAGGCGGAGGAGGAGGCTGCCAGGGAAGAGGGGGAGGAGGGGGACCATCAGAGGAAGGAGACGGGCAGCAGGATCGGACTCTGGAGCATTCCGAGAGCCAGCTGCGGGGGCTCTCCCCAAATTTATTTTGTTTACTTATTGGCTTATCTACTTATTCATTCATTTGTTCCTTCCTTCATTCCTTCGTTCCAAGAACTGGCTCCCCAAATTTATTTATTCATTCCGAGAGCTGGCTGCAGGGGCTCTCCCCAAAATTATTCATTTATTTACTTGCTTATTTATTTGCTTGCTCATTCATTCATTCATTCCAAGAGCCAGGTGCAGGTGCTCTCCCCAAATTTATTTATTCATTTACTTACTTATTTATTCCAAGAGCCGGCTGTGGGGGCTCTCCCCAAATTCATTCATTCATTCATTCATTCATTCATTCATTCATTCACTCATTCATTCATTCATTCACTCACTCATTCATTCATTCCAAGAGCCAGGTGCAGGTCCTCTCCCCAAATTTATTTATTTATTTGTTTGTATGTTTGCTGATTTGCTTATTGTGAAATGTACTTGCCACCCATTTCACTACCAACAACTCTGGGTGACTAACATCATAAAAACAATTTAAAAACATTAAAATCATTGATTAACAGAAGATGGAAAAAGAGCGGACATATGGTGGTGGTGGGGAGGGGTGGGATTAGGTAAGGGTAATTCATCAACCAAGACACTTGGAATACTGCCTCTAGTTTTGGTTGCTACGATATAAAATAGATGTTGGGACTCAGAGTGCAGAGAAGAGCAACAAAGATGATCAGGGGACTGGAGGCTGAAACATACGAAGAACAGTTGCAGAAATTGGGTATGTCCGGTTTAATGAAGAGAAGGACTAGGGGTGACATGATAGCAGCCTTCCAGTATTTGAGGGGCTGCCCCAAAGAAGAGGGAGTCAACTTATTCTCCAAAGCAACTGAGGCAGGACAAGAAACAATGGTTGGAAACTAATCAAAGGGAGAAGCAACCTAGAACTAAGGAGAACATTCCTAACAGTGAGGACAATTAACCAGTGGAACAGCTTGCCACCAGAGGTTGTGGGTGCTCCATTACTGGAGGTTTTGAAGAAGAGACCGGATAGCCATTGTCTCAAAATGAAGGCGAATATACGTGTCCCAGGATAATGTTGCAGGATCCAACCTGGATCTAGGGTCTCCTGCTTGAGCAGGGGGTTGGACTAGAAGACCTCCAGGGTCCCTTCCAGCTCTGTTATTCTGCTACATCCAGGCTCCCCAAGGCCATACAAAAAGCTAGGACGGACCTTTCATTCTTGTCCCGGAGCTCCTCCATCTCCTTGGGCTCCAGATGATCTGCAGCCGCCTGCCGTTCCTGCAGGAGGGTGAGGCGGTCGATCCGCTGCTTCATCATCAGGATTCGCGTATCTACGCAGAGAGCACAAAACCCTCCTCAGAACCTGAGAGGAGGCCATTCGGACGACCTGCCGGGCAGAGCCATTCCGGGATGGCCCACTCAACTTTCCCTCATCGAGAAAAGGCAAAATAGTGACTGTTCCTCAGAATCCAGTGCAATTCTAACTCCACTGGATGACCAAAGGGGTGAATTTGCAAAGCTGCAAATTAGATATGTTTAATGCTTTTTTTTAAAAAAAATGTTTTCACTATGTTTATTGTTTTAAAATGTTTTTAAGGTTTTAATTATAGTGTATGTTTCTGAACTGTGAGCAGCCCAGAGTCGATTGTGAAGATGGATGGTTATCGAATAAGTAAACAAAAATAAAATAATAATAAATAAATCTATTAAATAAATAAAATAATAAGAGAATAAATTAAAGAAAAAAATAAGTAGAATGATAAAATAAAAAATTAAAATTAAATTAAATTAAAATTAAATAAAAAAGCAAAGTAAAATAAAATAAACAATAAAAATAAAATAAAAAACAAAAAAAAATAATAAAATTAAAATACTGTATTTTTCACGGTATAAGACGCACCGGAGTATAAGACACACCTTAGTTTTTGGAGAGGAAAATAAGAAAAAAGCTGATTGGCAGGTGGATCGGCCTCCAATCAGCTGTTCCCAGAGGTGAATTTTAGCAACAGGTTCCTTTCCTTGCTTTTTTTCCTGCCTCTGAAACTTCTGAAACTCCGTTTCAGAAAAAAAATAATAATTCCTGCCTCTGAAAGCCTCCGAAACAGAGCTTCAGAAAAAAAAGCCTCTGAAGCTCTGTTTGGGGGCTTCTTTTCTGAAGCTTTCTGAGACTTTTTTCAGCCTCTGAAACCTCCATTTGAGAAACTGGGCGGGGCTACATTCTGAGTATAAGACGCACCCAGATTTTCACCCTCTTTTTTTGGGGAAAAAGGTGCGTCTTATACTCTGAAAAATACGGTATTTTCAAAAAGTCAAGTAAAATAAAAAAAATTTAAATTAAAAAAAAATTAAAAAAGAAACAAAACATAAAATGAAATAAAATAAAAATACCTAAACTAAACTAGGAAGTAAAATAAAAACAAAGATGGCAGAGAGAATGGCCTGGGAAGGCCGGAAGGAAACTCACAGTGAAGTGAAGGGTCAGCCGAAAGGGGGGGCTGGGCCCAAGTCAAAGGAGAGTGAGGGGAGTGAACGCCTCGGCCAGACTTATAATGAAGGTTTATAATAAAAGTCGCACAGGCGGTCTTCCACTTAAAACCATTCATTGACAACTGTTCCAAGTTACAATGGCACTGAGCATAAGTCCTCACAGTTACGACCACGGCATCCTCATCATCATGATGACCCCCTGGGATCAAAATCCAGGCACCTGGCAGCCGGCAGGTATTCGTCACGTGATCCCCTTTTCCCACCTCCTGGACTCCCTTGGAAGGCCGAGGGGACTTTGCTGGGCCTTTGAACCAGGCAGCAGGCATGTAAGCAGACATATATGAGGACCCGGATTGTGGGGGCAATAAGCTTTGTATAAAAAAGAACACCGCTTGGGGGGGCCGAAAGCCCTACTAAGCAGGAATATACAAAAGTATGAAGGCTATTGCTTAACGCATTGTAACCCACCCTGAGTCTCCGGAGAAGGGCGGCATATAAATCGAACCAATAAATAAATAAATATTATTTATTTATTAAAGGGGGGGGGGATAAAACTGTTGCCAGGAATGGCCCAGGTCCCATCCTGCTCTGCCACCGCAGGGGCTTTGCAGTCCCTTGAAGGTGGGCTGCTTGGGGGGTCTCCACTCTCCCCCCTCCCCACTCACCTTTCTCGTCGATGAGCTTCCGGTTCTCGGCCAATTCGTGCTCCAGCTCGTCGCGGTTCTCTCGCTCGGCTTCCAGCAGCTTCTTCAGCCTCCGCATCTGGAACTGGGGGGTCTGCATGATCTCCCCCATGGGAGACGAGGAGGAGGAGGAGGAGGAGGCAGAGCCGGGGAGCAGCCTGCCCAGGAAAAGAAGGTGTTTTTTTTTTAAATTTGATTAAAATTAAAGGTTAAAATTCTCTTTTTAAGAAAGGATTGGGCAGCCATTGTCGGAAGGGGCATGGGGTGTCCCTGACTTACAACACCTCGCTTAGTGACTGTTCAAAGTGACAACTGAAAAAAGTGACTTTTGACCATTGAAGGGTCACATGATTTAGATTTGGATACTTAACAACTGACTCACAGTTATGACGGTCGTAGTGTCCCGGGGTCATGAGATCCCCTTTTGCGACCTTTTGAGAGCCAGCTTGGTCTAGTGGTTAAGGCAGCAGGCTAGAAACTAGGAGACTGGGAATTCTAGCCCCACCTTAAGTATGCAAGCCGGCTGGGTGACTCTGGGTTGATCATCAGGAAAAGGGAAGTTCTAGTCCTGTCTTGGCACAAAAACCAGCTAGGGGACTTTGGGCCTGTCCCTCCCTCTCAGCCCCACACTCTTGGCAGGACTGCTGTTGTAGGGACATAGGAGGAGGAAGAGGTGTTGGAGATATTTGCCACTTTGAATTAAAAATAAAAATGAAAAAACTAAAATACAATACAATACAATAAAAAACCTAAAATACAATAAAATACAATAATAAATTAAATTAAATTAAATTAAAATAATAAAATAAAATAAAATAAAATAATAATAAAATAATAAAATAAAATAAAATAAAATATAAAATAAAATAAAATAAAATAAAATAAAATAAAATAAAATAAAATAAAATAAAATAAAATAAAATAAAATAAAAATAAAAATAAATAAAATAATAAAGTGGAGTGGAGTGGAGTGAAGCGACAAACATGCCCATCAGGCCTCGGAAGAAAACCACCTCTTACTTATTCATGCTGGAAGAAGATGCGATCTTGTGTAGTTTCAAGAAAGGCACCCCTCGTTTGGGTGGGGTGACCTCTTCTGAGCTGGCACTGGAGGTACTTGAGGACGCTGGCACTGGAGGGCAAAGAGGAGAGGAGAGGAGAGCAGACAGGCCGTGAGGCAAAACAGAGGCAAGAAGAGGCTCAGCCTTCAATTCAACTGGTTTTTTTCCCCTGCTAAGAAGTTTCCAAAAAAGTCAGTTTTGCAGCCAGAGGAATTCTCACTGCAGAAGACGCCAGTGTAGCATCTCTACAACAGTGAAGTCATCTCAAATCTTCTCAACTTAGTGGCCTCCAGACATTCTGGACTACAACCCCCATTTTCTGTGGTCCTAGATGCTCTCTGATTGGGGGTTTCCTTGCAGATGTTTCATGACCCAACTAGGGAACAGCATCCATGCTCTGGTCATTACCTAATTGGGTCATGAAACATCTGCAAGGAAACCACCCAGCTCAGAGAGCATCTAGGACCCAGCCCTTCTCCTCCTCCTCTCCCTCCCTTTTAGCACTGATGAGGTTACCTAGTTGGGCCATCAAACATCTGCAAGAAAACCACCCAGCTCAGAGAACCCCAACCTGGAGGTACAAAGATCCTTTTCCATCAGTAAACACGGGGTTCCCAGTCAAAGCACCACAACCTTCTCAGCACTTACTTTTCTTTTGGAGAAAGTTCTCCAGATCTTCGCTGAGACAGTCTTCGTTGTAGAGCATGAAGTTCAGGAACTTGGCCATCTCCGTCTGGGGATGAGAGGGGGGGGGAGACAGGGGGCCTCCAAGTTATCCAGAGAAGGATTAGCCAAGGAAATCAGATGAAGCCTATGCCCCCCCACCACTCCCACCAGAACTCAACTCCTTTTTCATAGGCCGTTGCCCTTCTCAAACTTTTTCCTCCAAACAGACAGTCAGTCCTGGACTTACAACCTCAATTGAACCCAACATTTCCATTGTTAAGTGAGACAGTTGTTAAGTGAGTTTTGCCCCGTTTTATGACTTTTCTTGCTACTTCAGTTGTTAAGTGGCTCACTGCAGTTGTTCAGTTAGTAACGCCATCGTTAAGTGAATCTGGCTTCCCCATTGACTTTGCTGGTCAGAAGGTTGCCAAAGGGGATCACGTGACCCCGGGAAACTGCGACGGTCATAAATACGAGTCAGTTGCCGAGCATCCGAATTTTGATCACGTGACCATGGAGATGCTGTCAGATGTGTGAAAAACGGTCGTAATTCACTTTTTTCAGCGGCGTTGTAACTTTTAACAGTCTCTAAATGAACTGTTGTAAGTGAAGGCCGAACTGGCAGGGTGCAACGAAAGGGGTCGTCCACAGAGGCAAAAGGCAGCCTAGCAACCCAGATGCCGATGAGATGATGAGGAGGCGCCTGGCTGGCTGACCAGATTCCCGATGGAACCCAGGAGGAGATCTCCCTTACCTGCAGGTCGTATTCGAGCGTGGTCCACTCCCGAGGAATCTTATCGCTCATGGAAACATAGTACAAGAGCAGCATCACCACCTCGAGAGAGCAGAGCAAAGAGTCACCTGGAGGACACCTCTGGAGAAGAGCAGAAGCACCCCAACTCCAGCAAGGGGGGTCAGAAGCTCCATGAGATGGCAACACACCTCTGGAAAGCTTCTGATCAAAGACACCTGGGAAGACTTTGAACCCATCCATCCTGAGGAGGAAATGGCCACCTGCACTCAGGCCCCTCCTGGCTGGCCAAGGCCTCCTGGGAGCTAGCATGGGGCTGGGCCCAAGCTCTGCTTAAGGGGGTGCTTTCAGTTACCATATTTTTCAGAGTATAAGACACTCCGGAGTATAAGACGCAAATTAGTTTTTGTGGAGGAAAACAAGAAAAAATAACCTCTGCCTCTGCCTACCAGCATCCATTGGTATTCATCTGGCTAACGTCCTTGCAGCAAACAGCCTGGTCAGCTTCAGCACATTATCTCAGCCTGATTCAGCACGAGCAGCTGATTGGCGGGTGGATCGCCTGGAATACTCCCAATCAGCTGTTCCAGGCTGCAGGGATTGACACAGACCATAGCCATGCCTCACGTTTTCAGCCTCTGAACGCTCCGTTTTAGACCCGTTCCAGGATGCGGGGATCACCACAGCCCATCGCTGCTGATCGCCATCTCTGCACGCGTTTTTGGCCTCTGCATGCTGCATTTTCAGGCGGTTCCAGGTGGCAGGGATTGCCACCAATCCCTGCCGCCTTGAACCGCCAAAAATGCAATGCGCAGAGGCCAAAAATGCAAGGCACAGAGGCGGTGATGTGCTGTGGCGATCCCCACAGCCTGGAACAGGTCTAAAACAGTGTGCGAAAATGTGACGCGCAGAGGCCAAAAATGGCTGAGTTGGGGGCCAGTGGATGGGTGGGGCTACATTCGGTATATAAGGCACACCCAAATTTTCATCCTCTTTTAGTGGGGGAAAATTTGTGTCTTATACTCCAAGGAGGAGGTGGTGCACCCCTACTCAAGAGATCATCCTTGGATGTGACCATTTTGGAGAACTCTTCTCCTGTCTCCAACTTCCCCCAAGGGGGTGGTTGAGCAGGTAGAAGGTGCCCGGCTCCAGAGGACCCTGGAGGAAGGGATATCAGGACCCTCTTCAAGCAGAGTTCAGGCCAGGCAACGGTCTAGGAAGGCAATGATCACGCTTGTGGATTACCTCTGGAGGGCTCGGGATGGGGGTGATGCATCCATCCTGGCTTTCTGGGTCCCTCAGTGATTTTTGACAGTCAACCAAGATGTCCCTCTGGAGCAATTTGGGGCATTGGGAATAGGGATGCTGTTTTGCAGGGGTTCCCCCTTTATTCCATGGACAGTTCCAGTGAATGCCAGATCTTGTTGGGAAACACCCAATCTATCACGAAGGAGGGATCAAGCACAGGGATAGCCTGGGATCATTGCGGAACCCCAAAAGGGCTGGGGCTGACCCCCTAAGTTCTTTGCAGCTTTACTGAATTGTCCCCAAGGGACATCTGCAAGACTGGGTTCCTCTATTACAGGCAGAACATAATGAAGTAGTTAGCCTGCATTCTACTCCAAGAGGTCTGATTGTTCATGCCTGACAGGTCTGGCCTTAGAGCCCTCTTATACGAGATGTTTTGGGCTTGGGTATCTTACCAACAACAATCAATAATAATTAGTTTCATCTAAATGAGTCTGGGCAGCTCACAAGACGTAAAAACAATACCCCGGGCCTCTTTTCCCCCCCAGACTAAGTCTTTCTTCAACCCGTCCCAGGAAGCCAGTCCAGGCCCCAAACCCAGGAAGCCACGAGTACCAAGGAGCCGGCCCTACCTTGGCTAACTCCAGTTCTTCCGCTGCCAAGAGCTTCTCCTCGGACACCAGGCTGTGCGGGGAGGCTTTGTGCTTGCAGATTTCTGGAAGGAGACAGGTGGGCGAAGCATAAGTGAACCCACCTCAGGTCCTGACCCCACAGCCTCTCCCCCCACATTCAGCCCAAAGACTTCTCAGCTGGCCCACTTTTGATTTGAACAAACAGCTGCTGCTGTTTGAATCCGGTTTCAGTTTGAGCACCGTGCAGCTGTTTCACAGGTTAGTCCTCGACTTACAACCGTTCATTTAGTGACCGTCTGAAGTTACAAGAGCCACTGAGAAAAGTGACTTACACTGTTTGTCACACTTAGAATCAGAGTTTAGGGTTGGGAGGGGCCTTGGAAGAAAAGACGGGAGAGGAAGGGTCACGCAGCTGAAAGGCTCAGAGCCTCTGCTGGATAAAGCTTCAAAGTTTGTTTTGTGCATGTGTGTGTGTGTGTGTGTGTGTGTGTGTGTGTGTGTGTGTGTGTGTGTCTGCTGCCAGGATAAAACTTTCCCACCTCCTCCAGACCAAAGCATCCTCCGACTGAGGGAAGCACTTACTCTGAAGGAAGCTGACGACTTGGGTCACCCTCTCTGCCACACTCTGCTGGGAAGCATCCTGCCCCTCTTCTGTGCCATGTCTGGAAGAGAGGAAAAGAGAGGGGGGGAGGGAGGAAGAAGATATAATTGAATAAGTTCTCTGGATCAATGTTTCTCAACCTCGGCAACTTTTAACCTGTGTGGACTTCAACTCCCAGAAGTGCATGTGCTGACTGGGGAATTCTGGGGATTGAAGTCCACAAAAGTTGCCAAGATTGAGAAACACTGCTCTGGACCACTTGCAACGTTGATGTCTGTTTCTTTTTCTAAATGGCTGGCTTCTATTTTTTTTTTTTTCCTAATCAAATTTGGATGTGGGGATGGAGAAACAGCCATCAGGTCTTTGCACAGCTCAGGAACAGCTGAATGGGTCGGCAGCATCCTAAACAAACAAGATCTGCGGCAGAGTTCCCCAAACTTTTGGGCTTTGCAGACGGGGGGGGGGGGGGGGGGGAGAGAGAAGAGATGGTTTTGCGCATGGGTGCCGCTTTCACAAAGGCAACTCTGCGCACCTGCATATACGCGCTTGCCCACTGCTTCTGCAGCCTGGTTCTGAACAAGCTGCAGCCCAGCCCTGGGTCATGGTCTAGAGGTTGGGAATTCTTGTGCTAGAGCCTACAGGAAGAACGCCGGAATCTGTCTTACATTTTGCCGATGATCTTGAGGAAGAGGCTGCAATCCTGGAGCTGAGACAACGAAGTGACGGCATCGCCCAGCTTCAGGCTGTTCACCTGCGGAGGAGGAGAGCCACGTTAGAGGCTGGCAGGCCAGCCACGTGCCAGGACAGAGTACCCATGTGGCCATTCTGCCAGGCGTCGCTCTGAAACACTGGTCATTGAGGGAGCTGGTAGATTGCCAAGATACAAGCTGGATGGAAAAACTACCCTGGAGAAACATGTGGGAAGGGAATCCTCTTCGGGGACTCATAAATTCTGGCCCATGTCCAGAAACAACATTAGGGTTTAAGCCTTTTTTTCCAACTGTTTCAATGCTTTCAAACGTTAAGACATTTTTAAAGCTCCCAGTTTAGCGAAAAGAATGCATTTATTTCTATTTCTAGTCCATGGTTGCCATATCTGATGATCCACATCCTATTTCTCCATGCTAAATATGACCCAATAAACCCTAAAATCATAAACATGAAGAGCCGCCAATTCCGGCAGGCGTAAAAGCATCCTGCATCTCATCACGTCTCATAGACAGTCACTTTAAGATGAGTGGACTTCAACTCCCAGAATTCCTGGGCCAGCCATTCTGGCTGGCTCAGGAATTCTGGGAATTGAAGTCCACAAGCTTGTAAAGTTGCCATGAGTTTGCCCATCCCTGCTCCAAAAGGTTCTCGACCATAAAGAAGGGTTACTTTACCCAGGCCAGGAGCACTGAGGCTCTGGTGTTGTGAAGCGACATCTTCGCGTCTTCTACAGGTCACATTCAAATCTGTAGAAGAAAAAGAATGAAGGCCACCATTAACCATTAAGTTCGGATAAAGGAGGTTTACACCCCATTTAGGAAAGAAGGAGAAGCAGAAATGATTAAATCGACTTTTTTTTTTCCCAAAGAAGAGAATATATTTCATTTTCTTTCTATTTGGAAATTGCTTCCTGATTTTGGGCTTGCAATGGGGGAAAAAATGAAACATTAATTTTGTTTTTGCTGATAGGTTTGTTGCTATAGAAATGGTGTGTGTATACACACACACTGTTGTGTAAAAGTAAAACATTGAGGTTGTAATGTTGTTTATTTTCTACTGTGCTAAAGAGTTGGAAATTGGTGCCTTTTACTTTTATTCCTTTTTAAAATTACTCTTCGTATTTAATACTTCGATAAACTAATACTTTGAGCCACAGTGGCACAGTGGTTAGAGTGCAGGACTGGAGCCTACTTCTGCTGACTGCCAGCTGACTGCAGTTCGGGTCTCACCAGGTTCAAGGTTAACTCAGCCCTCCATCCTTCCCAGGTGGGTAAAACGAGGACCCAGATTGTTGTAAGACAATAGGCTGACTCTGTAAACAGCTTAGAGGGGGCTGGGAAGCATTGTAAAGCGGTAAGTAAAGTCTAGGGGCTATAGCTAATAAAAATCTATTATAGAAAAACCCAATGGGAGTCAAGGACTGCCTGTAAATGGAATTCTGGGCTAACATAAATCAAATTACGCAGCTGTCTCAAAACAAGCCTAACAGGTTCACCCGCATAGCAGTCCCCTCCATGATGATGCCCTTAGGGTCATTTCCTGCTGGTTCCCCACAGCAATTTAGCATAAGTCACCAAACACACACACACACACACCCGTGTGGCTTACAACCCACTTGGCTCTTGGGGAAAGTGCTCCAAATCGGCCTGGAAGCCTTAGAAACCTCGACCCAAACAACGGGGGCTCCTAGTTTTAGTGAAAGCTTTTGTCAACGTTCTGCCTCTGTCACCACCCTGGATTCCTTTTCAAGCCACAAAGTCACATCGCACCACAGCTTTGAGGGATGCCCCAACTTTACACAATTCCTACGCAGAAGCAGCAGCACAGAGCAGGCTCTGCAATCAGAGGCCAGGAAGGGGGGAGGCAGACTTACTAGCATTACAGCACACACACACACACACACACACACACACACACACACACACACAGAGCATGCCCACAAAGGACTGTTTGGAAACACCCACCAGTTTTAAGGACACATGTTTTCATTAAGGGCTGCATTTTGCGGCCAATGCTTGCTATCCGCCAACTGAGATTTTAAAGGGATTTTTAAGCAGTTCCAGCCTTGAACTTCACAGCTCCACAGTATGTATATGGGGAGGGGAGGGGAAGGCAATGGGAGAAAGAGGGAGGTATTAAGACTTAGTACCACTTTATAAAGCCTTAGTAAGGCCACACCTGGAATCCTGCATCCAGCTTTGGTTCCCACATTACAAAAAAGATGTTGAGACTTTGGAAAAAGTGCAAAGAAGAAGCAACTAAGGTGATCAAAGGCCTGGAGGCTGAGACATACGAAGAATGGTTGCAAGAACTGGGTAGGTCTAGTTTAATGAAAAGAAGGACCAGGGGAGACATGATAGCAGCCTTCCAATATCTCAGAGGCTGCCACCAAGAAGAGGGAGTCAAGCTATTCTCCGAAGCACCCGAGGGCAGGACAAGAAGCAACAAATGGAAACTAAGCAAGGAGAGAAGCAGCCTAGAATTAAGGAGGAATTTCCTGACAGTTAGAACAATTAGCCAGTGAAACAGCTTGCCACCAGAAGTTATAGATACTCCATCACTGAAGTTTTTTAAGAAGAGATTGGACAGCTACTTGTCTGAAATGGGATCATATTTCCTGCTCAATAGACTAGAACAGAATTCTTTTTATTGGCCAAGTGTGATTGGACAAACAAGGAATTTGTCTTGGTGCATACGCTCAAGCAGAGGTTAGGACTAGATCTCCCAGATCCCTTCCAGCCCTATTCTGATTCATTGATTGATCGATCGATCGACTGATGGGGGACTGAGGAGGGATGTGGGGAAGGGGAAGCAGCCAGCTCTTTGCCCTGGATTGTGCAGTAGCATCCTAGGCAGAGAGGTAACACATCTTAAGGCCAGTCTGTGTTGGCTTTCATTTTTCTGCAGGCAGGTCAAACTGAACGATGCAGGGAGAGCCGTTTCCCAGGAATGTCCCTGAAAGAGACCCAGCCTGCTGGAGGAAAAAAAGGCAACAGAGGCTGCTTGAAGTTAAGCCCCCTGCTTTAAGAAAGTTACAGGGGCCGCAGAGCCTTCGCACCAGAGTAAAACCCAACTTGGCATCAGCCGTCAGCCATGTATCCAAGGGCAGGGATATAAACTTTATGCCACTTTATCTTTTTTTTTTTACTTTAACCATTTAAAATGCAAAAGAAAAAAATTAAACGGAGACAAAACAAAAACATTGAAAAAAGCAGTGAATTAAAATAAAACAAAGGGCAAAAACACATATTATCCTGGCTGGTTGAACACTGACAAAACTATTGCCACGATAATAGATTCCCCTCTTGCAAAACAAGTTCAATCTTAATTTTATTTTAAAACAGAGCAACAGGGCACCAAATAGAAGCCTGCAAGAGGGGCCCACAAAATCTAAGCAGAGGAGGAGGGGGGTCTCCTCCACAATTAGAGGCCAACTTCAATGGGTCTAGGCCAGGGGTGTCCAACCTGGGCTATTTTAAGACCCCAGACTTGGATTTCGACTCCCAGAATTCTCCAGCCAGCCATGGGACTTGAAGTCCACACGTCTTAAAGTTGCTAAGTGTAAAACTGCAATTAAGATGCTGCCTTAACCGTTGTTCTACTTTTGAACAATAATCAGCCTTTGAAATGACATGGAGTAGGGATTGTTTTCAACCGTGGAAAATGTTTATTCAGCCTGGGAAGGGAAAAAGGGAGGTGATCGATACTTTAGCCCCCCAGGCAAATAAGTGCCAGCAGATTAAAAAAGAAAATTCTCTGAAATATGGCATGTTTCTCAACCTCAGCCACTTTAAAATCTGTGGAGTCCAAATTCCCAGAATTCCCCAGCCGGTTGAAGTCCACTCATTTGAAAGTGGTTGGCGTTGAAGCGCATGACTTATCAAACCACAATTCATTCTGCAAAAAAAAAAAAAAAGCTGTAGTAAACTTAATCCCAAATTAGGAGGAATTTGTGCTGCTCACCAACTTTTTCCCTTTGATCTGGCCCGGGGGGGTGTCTTGGATGGCTTCCACCGCCCTCCCTTTTAAAAATAACCCATTAAAAAAATCAAAATAGAAATCCTTACATTCAGCTAAAGCTCCTTCATCTTTTCTGCAAAAGTTAAGGCAATCTAAACTCACACCTGGAGGGCACGCGTGGCTCCGATTTCCTGAGATGCAACCAAACAGTTTAAGGGTGAGCTGCCAAAACGCGTCACGCAAGGCGCAGCTTGTACATGTGGGGGTTAACGTGATGGGGTTTTTTTGTGTGTGTTAATTATGACATGCAAATCCTTTTCTATTCAAAGGGAAGGCACGTGAGGTGTTTGCAAACGCCTGCTGGCACGCCACACACATCCTGCACGCTTACATCCCCTACAAAACACAACTGAAGGCCCCTTAATTATCTTTCTGGTGTAATTTTACATCGTCTCAGCGTGAAGCTTCTCCATCACGGGCCCAGTCCCTGGACTCTGACCTCCATTAGCTTTGGCCACCGTCCCAAGGTCTCTGAGAACCAGCGGCTTCTTGGCAAGGCCACACCCAGCCAGAACGCTCCAGAAGGGTCGCCTGGTTCCTTTGCGGCATACAGATTCAGTCATAAATGGATGGTTCAAAAAATAACTACTGACATAGAGGTAGAAAAGGCAAAGGTTGGAAGGTCCATGCATGGCCCCTGCTGGCCCCTGAGAAGGATCCACTGGGATCAAGCCAAGCCTGCCAGGCAGGGGAGCTTTCCTTGCATTTTTTTTCAGTAAATAGTTTCAATACAAACAACAGCGTAATCAAGGGAATACCAAGAGTACCAAAGAGTCCTACCAACACTGGCAGGGCAAGCTACAGAGGGCAGATCTTCCCTCCCTTCCAGCACTGATGGTGTTACCTAGTTGGGTCATGAAATGTCTGCAAGAAAACAGCACAGCTCAGAGAGCACCAAGGACCCCACTCTCCTCCTGCCTTCTAGCAGAGTCATGAAGGTCATGAAACATCTGCAAGAAAACAGCCAAGGTCAGAGAGCACCAAGGACCATACAGTCCTCCCCCTCCTCTTCCACACAAACTCCCTTCCAGCACTGATGGTGTTCCCTAGTTGGGTCATGAAACATTTGCAAGAAAACAGCCAAGCTCAGAGAGCACCAAGGACCCCCCAGTCCTTCTCCTCCTCGACAAAAGTCTCTCCCTTCTAGCACTGATGTTGTTACCTAGTTGGGTCATGAAATGTCTGCAAGAAAGAAGCCAAACTCAGAGAGCACCAAGGAGCCCACAGTTCGACCCTGAGCTACAAGCCTTCTCTTCCATGGCTGGCTGGGGAATTCTGGGAGTTGCAAGAGGTTGAGAACCCAGCTTTAGAGGAGTTCTACTCTCTTCTACCAACCTTGTGAAGGTCGCAAAAGGGGATCACAAGGGGACCCCGAAATGCTGCAACTGTCATAAATGCATGCTGGTTGCCAAGCGCCTGGATTCTGATCATGTGACTGTGGTGATACTGTAATGGTCATAAGTGTGAGGTCTGGTTATAAGTCACTTTGTCCAGTTCCTTTGTAACTTAGAATAGTTGCTAAATGAATGGTTGTAAGTCAAGGACCACCTGCGCTGCAGTTTCTTCCTTGACCTACAATTGCATCTGAGCCCAAAATTTATGTTGCTAAGCAAAACATTTGTTAAGTGAGTTTTGTCCCATTTTATGACTGTTCTTGCTACAATCGTTAAGTGAACCACTGAATTCTGGGAGTTGTCCAAGGTTGGACATGCTGGTTGGGGGATTCTGGGAGTTGAAGTCCATGTGTCTTTAAAGTTGCCAAGCTTGGGCACCTCCCGGCTTAGGAAAGCTGAATGGAGACTCAAAGGCAGAATCCCCACATTAGGCTAAGCCACCAGTAATCAGGGCCCTTCTTTCAGCACAGACCGTGATCCCAGCGCACACATCAATCAGCAGCTCTGTTGCTCCCGGTTTGCAAACAAAAACCTCCAGACCCCACAATAAGATTAGCTGTGGCCTGCAGCCGCTCAGCTGTTAAATAACCAAAGCTGGAATGAGGGTCACCGGATCTCACTCGCTCGCTCCGGAAAGCTTGCGGTGGCCGTGGCTGCTGTTCAAGATGGGATTGCATAAATATTTCACTGATAAAGAGGCAGAGGAGGGTGAACCAACAGAAGGGGTGGGGTGGGGAAATTCTGGGTGTTGAAGTCAGTAAGTCTTGAAGTTGCCAAGCTGGACCCCCCTGCAGAAACAAGGCTGGTGGCTTCCCTGGTTCTTCTGGGTTATTCAATGATTCCAGTGAAGGAGAATATTTGCAGCTCAGGATTGAAACGAGGGGTCCTTGGTGGTCTCTGAGTTGGGTAGTTTCCCTGCAGACGTTTCATGACCCAAACTAGGTATCATCATCATCATCAGAACTCGTCGTCATAACTAGCACTGATGCTGTTACCTAGTTTGGATCAAGGAAACCACCCAGTTCAGAGAGCACCAAGGACCCCTTATGAGACGATTTCCCTAACAAGGAGGGTGGAGGTCTGTTCTCCGAGCTTGTGGGTTGGTTTTGTTACCAGGCTGGGTAAGATCATCAGCGGAGTGGAAATTCCTAATCTAAACTCTGCTGAAGGTGTTACCTAACCTGGTAACGAAGCATTTGGAAACCAACCCACAACCTCATCCTCCACCTGAGCTACAGATATTCACCACTATTGCAAACCCCCCTAACGTTAACCAAGCAGGCACCTTGTCCTGTCTGTCTTGGTTCAGTGTCTCGGGTGAACAGAGCCAACACGTCACCATATTCCGTTCTTAGGCCTGGTGTTTCTCATTCCATTTTTCCAGAAAGAGGAATTGTTGGCGCAGCACAACGTTCAGGAATCATACACCCAGCTATATTTGCAATCTGAACTCTGCTAACCGAGCAAATCCAGAAATTCTAAAACGATCTGGCGCTCAACGGATTAAACGCCTCTGCCTGGGCCTATTCCTTCCTACGTTTATTTACTAAGTTCATCCACCAACGCAAACAAAATTAATTCCCGGTGGGTCAATTAAAATGAAAAGCAAAGAAAAAACAATACGTAACCCCAGGCAGCAACTAAAATCAGCTTTAAGTTTCAAAATGCTGTGTGGACAGTCTGCTTTCAAAACTTCACTGCTACGGCAATGTAAGCAGGCTGCTCTAGGCATTCCTCTTGCTGCTCCTTTGGGGTCACAGTCCCCAACCAGGGGGAAGGAGCCCAGGCCAAATACAAGCCCAGGCTGTTCTTGACTTACGACTACAATTGAGCCCTGAATTTGCTGCTAAGTAAGACGTTCATTAAGTATGTTTAGCCCCATTTCATGACCTTTTGTGCCACCGTTGTTAAGCGAATCATTGCAGTTGTTAAGTTGTAATATGGTTGTTAAGTGAATCTGGATTCCCCATTGATTCTGCTCGTCAGACGGTCACAAAAGGGGATCGCATGACCCCGGGATACGGCAACAGTCATATATATGAGCCAGTTGCGTAGCTCTTGAATTTTGATCATGTGACCATGGGGATGATGATAATAACAACAGCAGCAATAATAATGTTTTGCTTTGATTTTGCAACCAAGTCTCTCAACTGGAATGTTCCTATGAAATGCTCTTTGTTTTGTTTAAAAAAAAAAAATCTTGAGGTATTTTGCACATTTGAGAAATGAAAAAAATAACAAGAACTTAAAAGCAAAATTTTGCTCCTGTTTTTTGATCCCAGGAACCGAAGAAAAGAACGGAAAGCCGTCGTCCCTGACGCCTACTGGATAGCAAGCTTCCCCCCCCAAAAATTAAAATAAAATATTTGTGAAAATTCTCATTAGGGAAGCAATTTTCCCCACTTTCTCCCATGCAGCCTTCTCTGAATTCAGAGGTCTGCTACTATTCTTGCCCTGGAGGCCTGATAAGAAAAAGGAACAGGAAAAGAGATGACTAAGCTAGCTCTTAATAAAAAAAAGACTTTTAATCTCTCAAACAAACCTTTCTTCCAATCGATTATTTTTTCAGCCTCGCCGTTTTATCCTTGGAAGTAATTATCTTTTTAAGGTTGGCTATTTCAAGCAGAAGGAATATTAAAATGGACCGGTGTTGCTTCTTTTGTGAGTCAGAAAACTAATAGTTAGTCCTCGACTTACGACAGTTCATTTAGTGACCGTTCAAAGTTACAAAGGCACTGAAAAAAGTGACTTACGACCGTTTTTCACACTTATGACGGTTGCAGCATTCCCACGGTCACGTGATTTACATTCGGATGCTTGACGACTCACATTT